TGACTTAAAATTTATTTTTAGAGCTTTAATAAAATATTTAAGACCAGAAATCCAACAAAAAACAAATTGGGAAATTTTGTTTTTGATAAAAGTTAGCCTGTTCTTTCCGTACAAGTTTAAACATACATTTTTAATTGAGAATTAAAATGACTTTCAGGTCTTTTTTGATAACCCTTTAGCTTTATTTAGTATTTCATTGAATCACAAAATTAAATATTTATTTACAGCAGTCCTACTGTATGTTCGCATACCCCAGGACACGTGACCAGGCGACGATTTAAAAATAAATAGAGGACTTTTCAAACTGGGATGAAGTCCACCTATTTATGTTGTGTGTGACACACACACAGACACGCAAAGGACTTTACAGGACGCTTTGAAGTCCCGCCTAGTTAATTAAACCTGTGGCCCTCCTAAATATGCAACAGTTTTCCACGCGGCCTGCAATTGACGGCTTGTCGCACTGCTTGACGACTGCTTGTCTGAGCGATACATGTAATAAAAGTTTGCAACGAAAATTCCATGGCTGAAAAACTTGTTCACCCACATTAGCCGGCATTCCGGGGGTGGATAGATGAACAAAGTTAGAAAGGGGGTGAAAAGGTGGCCCAAACAATCTGAATATATGTACATATAAATAAGGCGATGAGCCCTGAAAGGCACTGAGAAAAATATTAGAGAAGGAATCGTTACATATAGATATAAATACAAATTTATGGAATTATAATAAATAATAATTTGCTTTAAATAAATATAATTATTGAAAGACATAAACAATTTATGACCAACTTATTTAACGTTTTTTCAAAATGATTTTTCTAATTAAGGATTTCTTCCAAATCATCAAACAAAATTTTAAATTTCTTTGAAAACCTATGCTTTAAACGAGTGGATTATTTTCTAAAGTGTATTTTTCTTTTCCGTTGTCATCGCAGACAGCAGAAAAAACCGCATCAAATATTAAAAATGTCGTTGGGCCAACTTTGCGAGAGTTTTAGCCTGGCCAACTGGACATTGTGCTCGTGGTTGGCCAAAAGTTGGGTCCAGATCTGTGGCCACTTGAATGCATTAATTGCAGTCCCTCCTCCAACAGCTCTGCACCCAAGGCTAAAAATGAAACTGAATATGCCGGAATGCTCAACCCTTCACCTCACTGTCTATTTTCTTAAAGCTGACGAGAAAACGTTGCAGGTTGGGTATTTTATTCAAGGGAGAACTGTAATTGGCTCAATTTATATATAGTACAACAAGGCAAAAATATTAGGTTTCATATTTCGATATCCCCCTTACAGGAGGTTAACTCTCTTGCTGAAATCAAAATAGATTTGGGGGCAGTTCATTTATTTAACATCTCTTTAAAAGCTGTTTAAAACTTAATATTAACTTAACTTACCTTTCTTAAAATTAGCAGAAAACTGTAATTGAATAATAAATTAAAATATTTTCCAAAATCATTCCACAATTTCAGATACCTAATCAGATGATTTCAAATCTGTATTGTAACATTCTACAATAAATCTATGTTTTGTTTGTTTTTATTTCATGTCCATTTTACTTTATTTTTAATTATGCTCAAAGGTACGAAATACATTGAACTATTTGTTTTGGTTTGGTTTAGTTCTGTTTGGTTGTAGTTGTAGTTGTGTGTATGCTCTATGTGGGTCTGGGGATCTGTTGTTTCTAACCATTAACTTACACGAGACGAACGTTGGGATCGATACAATACAATGCGTTGCAATTCAAGGGGTAGTTCTGTGGGAGTGAAACCAAATTCCTGTTCTATGCGTAGGGGCAATGGGTTAAATTTAAGGGGGGTCAGCTTGAAACCTCCCACTGAAGGTTGTTATTAGAATTTAACCAAGTCCATACATTATATTTCGCATTTAATTATATATTTCCATGCAGGCGCTCATTTATATGTAATCGTTATGTATTTTGGTTGCGTTATTTTATACCTAGCTAAAGTTCATGGTTCATTTGAATTCCCTTTCGGGCTTCCATATTTTTAAACTTTTAATTAATGCACTTGCATAAATTCAGGCACATAGATACAAAAGCAAAAGGGGCTATTAAATTCTATGAGTAAATTACAGAATTCCGCTGTTGTTTAATAAACATTTTGATTCAAAATCATTTGACATGAATTAGTAATGATTGTGGTGACAATTTAGGCGGGAACTGTATGTAAAAAATGTTGTGATTGCTATAGGTTTTAATAGGTTTAATCAACGATGGAATGTATTCTTGTTTTGTATCTAGCAGGGAGTAGCCACAAACAAATTTCTCGTTAACTACTCATATATATTCTTGTACATATCGTGTATTTATAGCTGTATATTGCACACTCAACGATTTAGTTTTTTTTCCCGATTTCTTTTCGTTTATAATCTCTTAACTTTAGGGTAATAAAAAAATACATTTTTCTCCATTTAATTAATAAACATTTCATTTCAGTTGTTCTCCTTCTAATATTCATTCTTGTTTGTCATTCGTCTAATCCGTAGTTATAGCGTAATACAATTTGCAACTAGACTAGATTTAATTAATATATAATTTGTGTATACATATATATTTTCATTCTCTTTTTGGGGGGTATTCCTCTCGTGGTGACTTAAAAAAGAACATAAATTGAAATAAAGAAGATTTATAATTTTGGCTACATGTAAAAAAATACAATTGTATAAGCCGAATGTAATACTTAACCATAATTTTGGCTTCAATATGACCTCTACATTTTTTTTTAAATAAATGTACAGGATAAATCTTAAATAATTTCCGCGATTACAAGAGAGAATTACCCTTAATCAAATTGTTACCTTCTCGATATAGTATATATATAAATAATTCTGTATAACGACTCATGGCATTTGGTTTCCTTAGATCCTTTCTGTTGGTATTCCACGGTTTTCGTTCCTTAGTATTGCCTAAAATATACATCTAATAATACTCAAAAACACAAGTCTAAACATTTCGTCTCGATCCCTCTCAAACGGCCGTTTCATGGTCCGTCTCATCGATCCTCCCAAGGCGCCAAGAGTTAGGATCCCCAGCTGAAAGATACAGATAGAGAAAAGGGGGAAAAAATTAATGACACAATTCAAAGTACTGTTTTTATAGATCCCAGGACTACAGGGGTAAAAATTCCCATATTTAACAAACACTTTATAAATACATTTTGCATTTAAAATTTAAATTTATCCAAGACATGGGAATTAACAATTTAAAATGTTTTGCATGCACAAATCTAAAAGCAGGCACACGAACGGTCACACTACAGAAATTTGAACACCGACTGAGAGAGAAAGAGAGAGATGGCTGTATAGACAGAGAAAGAGACGAAGACACACACAGACTAGCATACATACATACGCGGTGGGCTGCTGTTGTTGTTTCTAGACCCTTGCAGAGGGATTAGGATTATTTTTGGATGGAAATGCTCCTAGGATCGGACAATAAAACAAATCAATTTATCTCTCAGTTTTAATCTTAAAAGTGTTTTCGTATCTCAAAAATTCTAAAACGGGTAACAAAGAAAAAATTTATGGAACTTATTATAAATTATTATATTTTAGGATTTAAATCTTATCAAAAAGAATTCAAGTTCTATTCAAAATTAAAGTAACAGTAAATAGTGTACTCTAATCGGACCACCAATTTATATAATTCCTATGCAAAATAGCAATCAGTCTGCAAGGGCAATTGAGGTTTCGGTGCCCGAAACTACAGATCCTTTTCCTATATAAGTCTTTTAACTTACCGCAATCGTAGTACTTCGATATCCTGGGCAGGGCTGTTTTCGTGGTAGTTGTTGTTGGTTTGGATTGTAGGTGTTGTTGTTGTAGTTTTGTTGTTGTTGATTAACGTTTATGATGGAGTTTTTTTTTTTTTTTTGTTTGGAACGTTTACGTTAGACATACAACAAAATTATAGGCACCGAAAAAATAGAAAATCAAATACATAAATTTCATCACAAATCAAACATAGATATATAACTATTGTCGTTGATGGTGAAAAATCAGTAGATCGTGATTAGCATAAAGGGGTGGTGAGAAATATATGGAACACATAGAAACATTACAAAGGGGCCACTATTAAAACGATTTTGTGATTACTCTATCACGTGGCTAAATATTTGTTTTTAACTCATGTCATCTTATCTAATATGAACGCTATTTTCAGAGACTCTAATCAAATTGTGACTATTTTTAGGTTTCAAGTTTACTCTCGGATGTTGATCTTCGGTGATAATAAATACAAAGTGATACACAACGAAAATGTAAACCATTTGACTATAAATTCTCCTTTTTGAAATTTTTAAAAACTTCAAACTAATTTTTAAGTGTTTAACAAATAACCACATTCACTTTTTACTGAATTTAACACACAAACAACTAAATGTGTAAATCAATTTATAATAATATTAAAACTAACTACCTACGATTACAAATTTTGTAATAATCCCATAATTTTCTATAAGTTTTCTCATAAGTTTCTGCATTTAATCTTAACTCTTTTCCTTTAGCTGCAACTACTTTTCCATACAACACTCTTAAACAGATATTGTAAATGTGCGGAAGTGATCTGGGCAGGGGGCGTGGCCGGGCGGAGGGGCGTGGCATGTGCGTACTGTTGTCGGCTGCACTTTGTTTATAAGTTTATGGGCATGGTGCTATTTTGTTTTCCATTTTCTATGATTGTTTGCAAAGCCGAACGATGAATGCATGCCCTGCACAAAAGTATATACCCTATGCAAACGATCGCAATCAACAAGCAGCGACGACGGCGATCGCGACAACAGACAAATTGTTTAATTAAATAATAACTATTGTTTTGTTTTGCCTCGTGGCAGCAGGCCAAATAATGTAAATTAAAATGATAGAAAAACAAAAATCAATGCCATTTGCGCCAAAATAATGTTAATGATGTCAAATGGCTGAGCGCGTGCCTACGTCGCTTTTTCAAAACAAAACTCGACTCCCGATCTCCGAATCATCTTCATCTTGGTATTATATGTGTTTTTTTATTAGCTTTCGTTTTTGGCTTGTTTACATTCACATTGATTCCTTTTCGATTATTACACTTTCTTGGGGGAGCATTGGATGGGGGGTTCTCGGATTCATGGATAATCGGGGTTATGTACAGCAAATATATGTATATAGTGTATGTACAACGACTTAGGCTATGTATTGCTTAACATTATAAAATATTATTCGTTATTAATTCTAATTAGTTTTCACGCTTTCTTCAAGCTCAATTTGTATGCGAATCAATCAACAAATCAAATGAAAAAAAACAACATATGCATAAAGAAATACAAACAAAAAATTATAATGTGTTAATGGAAGATATAGCGACTTGATGGATATGCCAGCACAGTACATTTCCATTAAATGCCAAGCGGTATCAAATTAATTAAATCAAATCAAGTGAAGGAAATTGTTGGGCCAGCGGAAAAGTTCATTTATCACCTGTCACTAAACCGATCGTTTCTGAGTTCTTAAATCTGTAACTGCAACTAAAGTGCTGTTGATCTAATCGGTTTGCATGCTTGTTTATTTATTTAATACCATGTCAGAGAACTAGTTAATACTCATTATAAAATCATTGATAAATGTCATCTCCCTATGAATGCTTAATTTATTACAAATATGAAGATTGCTCAGATATACCCTAAAAAATAATAATAATATTGCAAATATAGCACAAAAAATAGCGATCACCACTGTGGGATTTTATTGTAGATTTTTGGGATCAAAAGATCGCCTAAATTGTCCTTATTATAAATACATATATTTAAGACCTAATTCCATTCATGATTTATCACTTCTATAAAAATAATTTTTCAAATGTATTTCATAGCAAATAATACGAAATGCAATTCCAAATCAAAACCATAATCAATTAATTTAAAATCTAAACCTTGGTTGACTGTCTGATCGTGTTCAATTGAAAAGCCCACTCAAAACGAAACTAATTCATGAGCAATCAAGTGTCTTGTTTGACTACAACTCAACATACAACCATGATCAGTCAAAATAAATTACAACGTCTACAACTGGTTTGACTACAGCGACGATTTGTTTTTTTTTCTTTTTTCTAAGGATCCAGTGTTTAAACAGTGTTGCCAGGCTATTAAGTTTCCTACTTGATTTCAATGTTTTTTCGAAGATACTATGTTTTTACGTGGATTCAAATTATTGTGAACAGTTTTTAAACTTTTATAATTGCATCAGTTTAGCATGCTTACATAATTTCAGTGAAAAAACGCTCCATTTAGATATTTTAGAATGAATTTAGGGCAGGTAACAAATGAAGGGACTTTAAAGTAAGTTTTTTCTAGGTTTTTAATAGGCCATGACCTGTCAGCACTGTTTTTTTTAGAACATTTCCGCTGGGATGGAAAGTTTACGTTTCCCAAGACGTGAAGTTTACAAAAAATCTTGTCTGATTGTTTGACTTTGTGAGGTGATACAAAAGTTGGCTATTAGAACGATTAGTTGTGTTAGATGTTTGTTTAGTGTTTAGTTCTAGTGCTAGTTGCTATGCTAGATATGAGATGATTGTATATAGGGGATTCTAGATGGGGATTATTTAGATGGAGAGCTTCCAGATTTCTTCGACAGTGCTTTCTTGGATGTTGCGGCGTATGATTGATTGATTGATGGCTGACTGATGACTGATGATTGTTGTGATTATTTGTGGGTGGTATTGTTGTTGTTGTTCTTGTTGTTGTTGTGCAGGTCAAAGGTGAAGGGACGGTGGAGTGCTCTGATTGTTGGTGGCAAGTTGAGCAGCAGCGGGCCGATTGCATAAATTCACATTGCACTTTGCTCGATGTTGTTGGCGCTTGTTGTTGCTTCTTGTACGGATTGTCGTTGTTGTAGTTGTTGTTCTAGTTGTTGTTGCAGTAGTTGTTGTTTGTACGTGCGACCAAGTAAAGGAACATGCTCTTCTAAAATTAGAGTTTTGGCGTAGAAAAGGTAAAAAGAAAACGAAAACAAAAATCAAAAATGCACATAAAATACACAAAAAATATAATCCAAAAGAAAAGCATAAATTAAACTATATTACGGGTTCAATACAAGTGAGGTTAGTTTTTTTTTTTGCCATGCAGAAAGCGTGCAAACAGAGAGAGAGATAGAGACACGGGGGAAAGAGAGGTACACAAAGGTCGAAGGTGAAGAAATCAAGATCCCCAAACACCAAGAAAGTTAATGAAAGCATGGGGAAGAGCTAACAACAGCAGCGGTCGGAAAAATAGAAGTGAGGCCCTATCTTAGAATTAAATTTAAACCTATTTAAATTGTTCACTGATTATTAATAAACAGATCATAAAACTGGAAGACATATATATTTTGAAAATCTATATTTTTACATAAATCAAGCCCCTCCGGCTTGTGCATTTTGAGAGAGTTAAATTGATTGTAATTAAAAATTGTGTACGTTTCAAAGATTGTACAGTAAAAATCTTTTAGTACATTTAATATAATTCATATATATTAAAATTATAAACAAGTTTTCCCAATACATTTTCTATCTAATTATATTTCTTATTTCAAAATTGTCCTTGGGTGAAGTTTTCTTTTTTGGAAATTATTATTTTTCTAACCGCTGCTGTACAATACTAGGTAGATAGTGGATAGATAGTTGAGAGAGAACAAAGGGGCCAAGGGTCAAGGGGCCTCACTCACCCTGTAACTGCCGGTTGATCAAGGCCGTCAGTCCGTGACCCACATCCACACTCTTCTTCAGTATCAACATGGGCTTGTCCTCCGCATCCTCCGCATATCCTCCCGAGGGCAAAAAGCCATTACTGGCTATCGATTCGCTCACCTGGATGCGAAAATAAAAACATAGTACATACATCGATCATTAAGCTTTTATAAGGTCTTTAAATATATTTTACAAATAAATTATAAAACATCAGATTGATGGTTAACATAAATTCATTTCAAAAATATAATACTGCCATATCAAAGTGATTTTTAGCTACTTTTGAACACATAAATGTTTTTGACTAAAGGTTTGATAAGATAAGTAACAGATACTCTTACATGCTGTCAAAATTTTTTTCATTTATTTGGGTTTTTATATTTAAATTCATTAAAAACAAAAAAAACAATATATATGAAACCATTTAAAAACAAACCTGGGTGACCTGCATCAGCTTCTTGACCACATCTCGGCCGAGAATGTGATCGAAGACGGTTTGCAAGAAGGGCTCGGCCATAATAGACAGTTTGAGCTTGTCGCGATGCCAGATCAGCACCCGCGACTCCTCCATGGCCATAATGGAGACCTGTTCTCGTCCAAAACAAAAAAAAAAAAGAACAATATCAATAAATGAGGCGATCGAGTGGAATATGGGCACTCCCACCTGAAAGTAGTCATCGGTCGAGACGCCAAACCACTCCGGCGAGTCTAGGAACTGATGGGGAAACACAATGTGCAGGGCTCGCTGATGCTGGGACACCACCAATCTGTGGATAAAGCAACACAATTAATATCCATCAGAAACGAATCTTCGACAGCACTCACTTGCCACTCAGCACCAGCGACAGGCTGTCGACCTTGGTGACCTTCTCCTGGGCATAGACCTCCTGGTATTTCAGGGCGCGTATCACCTTCATGCAGTTGAGCACCTTCTTGAACTGATGACGAGTCACGTGCAGCGGCTGAAAAAGTGCCAGGTACACCTGCAAAAACACAATCCACAAAGAAAGCATTAAGTTAATGATGATGATGTGACAGCTATGGATCAATAAATACACCACTGATTTGAGTTCGATGTATACATAAATATCTGTTTCCGTTTCTGATAAGTTAATTAAATAATTACATACAAATAACCCAATTCTAAATGTTCACTTAACGTGTTTATGTTTATTCACCATAAAATAAATATTTACTTAGAAATAATTACTTATCCCTTATCAGGAAAATGAAGCTTTTTCATGATTAGTAAAAATTCCATTAAGAACCGCAAATCAGAATTTCCCAATTCTATTTGAACTTCCCTTTCTCTAAAAACTTTCCACCGCTTCCAAGAAAACTTGTATAGTTTTTGACCAATCAAATAACAACATTATGCGTGCATAATTTGCAAGTCTGTGTGCTCAATGAAATAAATTAAATAGATAAATAATCGACACTTCAGGGCAACGGAAACTCCCAAGTAATTTGGCCAAAAAACTCCCATTGAGATCAATCGGTCAACAATCTCTGTTGCCAAGTAGATGTTACACTCAGCGTTTGACAAACAACTGAAATAGGCAAATATTATCGCTGATCGGAGGTGTTAACTGATTTGCATTGCGTTAAGTATAACAAGAGCACGCCCCCTTTTTCAACCTGTTTACCTGTTCCTATTACGTTGGAACTACACAGGTAAAAACGGTTTTTACTTTTCATAAAAAAAATATAATATGTGTGCATACTAATCTAAAGTCTTAAAACGAAATGTGATTCAATTTTAAAGGAATTAAATTGCATTTTGTAATTTAAATATACTTAAATTTATTTATTGGAGTACCATTTGTTGTATAACTCTGTAACTATATTAAATAGATTACACAGATTTATATCGGCATACATTTTGTTTTTTTCTAAATTCTGAAATTGACCTTAAACACTAATATCTATCGATTTTAGAATTTATAGAATATTTTGTTACTTCGATTTTTCTTCATGTCTTCACGCAGCGTAGGCGTCGATGAGTTTTCGACCAGAGGCCAGCTAGTATTTTGGGGGCATTCGCTGGGGCCACCCTTCCCCTTCCCCTTCCCCATTCCCTCCCCCACACCTTCGCAAGCCAAAAAGCCAAGACAGCGATCACATGGCCAAAATGTAAGACTCGTGGTGGCAACAGCCACACGCCAAAGCAAAGTTGTTGCCATGCCAAAATAATGTGAGTTTTGCTGACGCAGCCGTTAGACGGACCAGCAAGCCAGGCGATGGCCCCCGAGCCGCACCTGCTCACCAGGGGGGCGTCTATAGATCGGGGCAGTAGCAACATCAACAGCAGCAACAGCAGCAACACCAACAGCAGCAACACCAACAACAGCAACATCAGAGGCGATCACATTGCGCCGAGCAACATGAAACGCTAGCAGTTTTTAGTTTTCCGCTACCCTAATTTTAGGGTATATTCGTTTTTTAACACAGAAAAAAAATATACTGCTTTGTAATAAAATTTTTGAGCGGCTAAATTAAAAGCAACCTTTTATTAAATAAAGGGGAGACTTTTCTAAAAAGATTATTAATATGTTAACTAAAGTGAAATCTACTAAATATAGTATTAATCTAAGGTAAACTGAATGTATTAATAGTTGAGTCAGAGTCTAACAATGTCGACTAAAGACAAAGGACTTTCATATCAGGCTGATGGGATTTCATAGCGTTTTTTTTTACTGAGGCGACGCAAGGCAATAACATTAAACATTAACGAGCATGGCTAAATAAATAAATAACATAATCAAGAGGTTTGTCCGGGCGGCGGACAAATTGTGATACGGGGCAGGTTTTGGTGGCGGATCCAGCGGATCCAGCGAATCGTTTCGATTTGCAACAGTCGCCGGTCGCCAGTCGGTCGTCGGACATTGCCGCGGATTCCCGAGTCACGTAGGCCACTCTCCACAGAGCCACATAGCCACTAAACCACTGAGCCACCAAGCGCAGCTCAGAGAGCCACAAAAAAAAGCATTAAAATTAAAACAAAATCCACGAAGGCAGTGAGAAGAAAGAGTCGCAGGCACAGACAGATGCGGATACACGGAGAGAAATATCCTCATTAACTTCATGACAATCGAATCAGTTTTGTGGATCAGCAGTTCAATAGGCAAACAATAAGAGTTTTTAATAAACAATCGAAATTCCCTATTAATAGTTTGGATTTTGCATTAGCCGAAATTTTAAAATATTTTAAATATCTAGGTTTTTAACAAGTATATTATTTTTAACAATCCTAATATAGTATAAAAATAATATACCTTGTATACGGTTTTAATTACATATAAAATAATATATGTAAGCTTCTGATTTTTTAAAGATTTTTCTTTGTATAAATATCATATAGAACATATGATGAAAGAAGATAGGAAATTACTCTCTGTGTATAGATCCAGATACGGCAGATTAGCGGACTCTTGATGATGATGAACTGCTGGCTGAACTGCCACATATACATGATGGACTGCCATCGAATGGGAACCCGGGAACTCGGAACGGGGATGGGGTCGTTATTCCTTTGCTGTGGGAAACAAAGCGCAATTCCGTTGTACCGCTCGCAATTTGCAAATTGAAATCAATGTAAGCGAAATAATTCCACGAAAAAAAGGTATATTAAAACCGAAACAGAGCAATTTGCGAGCGATCGTCGGCCACAGATAATATTCGCTCTACTTTGGCCAATCTCTGAATCCGATCGGATCAGAGAAATCTTCAGGAAAAAAAACGCAATGGCCAAAAAAGGGTTTACTGGGCTTTAAGCCATAAATCAAATTAATTGGCTTAGGGATACCCTTCCTTAAAGATGAATTGGCATTTTTTTAAGTGAGCAATTTAACTTAATCAGTTCAAGTATTTTATCATCGAGATCTACGTTTTGATTTTAAGTGATTGCCAAAAGGAGAACCGTAAAAAGCGAATTAAAATTTAATGATATACTAATTATCCACTTACAACATAATCTTATTACTTTATATACTTTAATAAACCTCTTCGCTATCTGTTATACGATTTATAATTGTTATATACGTAAATATATATTATATATATTAACTTTCCTTTTGATTTGTGTACAAATCGGTAAAATTATTTTGATTATATTTAATCCCTGGGAAACTCTCTTTAAATCATTTTTAGACTTATCTATTAGGTTATTCGGAAATAGATTGCTTCTCCTGGAATTTTTCTAACTGATTGTGTTAATCTGCCCACCCAGTCAAAGATCACTCCTCAGAACATTCTTCTGCAAAACATATGTACATACATAGTATGGATCACAATCACTTAATTGCAATTCTCGTGGTGCATGCCACAAATGACGATCGATCCATTATGGCAGGCACATACTTATGCGGTTTAATTAGCACTGATCGGGTTTAATTATTTCCCTGCTCGATCGACGATTTTTATTACCCCTGTTTTATGTCTTCTTCCGCTTCTTATTTGCTCTTAACTGACCTGCCCAAATACGCATGTAGATCACAGAGAGAGCGAGAGATCGATGAAGATCGGTGCGAAAAGAGCCATTGAACCTGTTGCTTTTATGATAAGCCGCCACCCGAAGAGTGATTCTCTTTCTTACATTTTAAGAGAGAGAGACCCAGAAAACGATGGGCGGTCGGTCTGTCGGCAACAGTGGGCCGTAAAAAAAAAAATTAAATAAATACAAATAATAAATGTCGATCGCTGCACACGTCGGTATTGTGTGAACAATGGAGCTTGTAAACAAAATCGATTGCCGTCAACAACCATCTTGTGTACTGATAACAGAAGCAAAACTGCAGCCAAGTTTCTCTTTCTGTGGAACTTTTTCCGGCTCTTTCTAGTCGCTTATCATCCGCTAAAACCGTTTAGCTCATGGTGAAATACCAAAAATGGTCATTTTCACCGATTACTGAAATTCTGATACCCTACGTTGGGGGTAATATATGCTTTAATTTAACTCCAAACTAAATATACTTAAATATACTGTTCTTATACTAATGCAATAATAAATAATATCGTTGATTATGATGGTCTTTTAGAAAATATATTTTCTTTTCGTACGAAAAATAGCCTTAATTTACAAAGAATTTTATTAAAAAAAAATATTTGTATGTATTATGTAATTCAATGCTATCTATTTTTCTTCTGCTCTCCAAATTGATTGACTTTTAGTGCAAATTGAGTTGTCAATAATCTACGCTTTAATTTCCAGGTGATTTAGGTGACTCATGTGACTCCAGGAAAGGAGGCGGTGGGCGTATCTGCACCCAGTAGGTTATGCCCCATTTATATTTGGATCTACTTAGACTCTCACGTGGGCTGGTGTTTTTGTTTTTTACCCCATGAAGGGATTACGCCGCAATTTGGACGATGATTGAGTGCAGGCGCGTGGGTGGGTGTGGAAAAAGGGGTGGTTGTGGAGGGCGGCAGAGGGTGTGGTTTTGTGGAAATATACATTCCTCATCTATTGGATCAATGCCACAATGGACAGCTGATGCTGACGCAGACGTCTTTCATCAGCTCTCCTCAACAAAATCTTCGGTGTGCGTCAGGTGCTAAAAGAAAACAAGAAAACATCGCCGAGTGTCCCCCTAAAATATTGAGTCCCCTCCCCAATTTCTGGGCTACTTTTACCATCCACATTTGTTGGAAATATGACGTGAAAGCCGGCCGGCACGTCCGCATTTGAGGCAAAATGAAGTGGACTTTGCCACAGCGCCAACTAAGAAATAACAAAACCAGACTTGGCCCACGTACCATCCCATCCAAAAATTATCAAGAAAAACTATAAAAAAACTAAGCGAATGACAAGATGATAAGCACAAGGTTAAAACATTCAACGAATAATAAGATTGGGCGACTTGAAATTATGACAACAAACCTCTAAAATCTCGGTGATCTTTAACAGACTACGCCAAGATATATCAAATCATTAAACTTAAATAAAAACACAAAATTTAAATAGTTTTTATAAGACAATTTCAAAACTATATTTCTTCATTATAATTTAACACAACAATGAATAAATTATTTATTGCTATTGATGTCAACTTGTTCTAAATACGATTACTTTCATTTAGCCATATTTTTATAATTCAATAACTCTTCATTTTAATGCAAACTTGGTCATGTGGTGAAATCAATTAATTTGTAATTAATTATTTGTAAAAATTCAATTAATCCTTTTTTGTATTAGTTTATTATCGCTTTAAATATTGGCTACAATGAAATTTACGAAAATAATTTATAATGTAGTTAATGTCAACATTCTATGAATAGTTTTACTTAATCGTTATGCCATATATATCGCATATAATTATCCAATCAAATGATTGATTTATTAGTGCGCAAGCCAGACAAATTAATGTCGAAATGATATATCTATGGGAATGCTAGGAATTTCTTGATTATATGCCTTTTTAAACATCTTATAATAATACGATTGTTATTTTCTTACGAAACTACAGACTATTTAAGCAATTCATTTATTGTATTATATATTCGATTGCAAATATTTATTTAATAATCAATCAATCTTTTAGATTCCTCCGCAAATTAAAAATCCTTACAATTGATAAAATGTATTACTTTTTTTTTTAACTTTCTTGCCTAACAACCTTTGATCTCTGAAAACTTTTCCCCATTCATTATCGATCGTTGCATTTGTTCGACTGACTGATTGATCGAATGACTGCCATTTGCAGATTTTCGATTTCGAGATTCATTCATTTATAATTTTGTTTTGGGGCCGCCAAGTCGTAGAACGTGCCCCAAATGACAAGGGGATCTCAGCGAATCGATAAGATGTACATGGAGAGTGCTTTCTATATACGATCCCTAACATTGCTGATCGCGCCGATCGCCGATCGATGGCTGCCCACAAACTGCTCATTATCTAATTGCGGTCCCCCAATCCCATATCCCATATCCCATCCATATCCATTCCGTTCGTTCTGTTTCGATTTGTTTTGGCCGGACGTAAGTCTCTCCGATCGAGACGATCGCTTTTGGGCGGTCGCCTCCTTAAGGTGCATACAAATAATGCGATTAACTCCGCATTTGGTCACCCAATTTGGCTGGACATCGTGACATCGGTCGTCATTTCTTGCCCACTCATCGTGGCTCTCAAGAATCAAGAATCGGTGGGGTCTGCGGATATATCGCAGGGGGCTGGGGTGGATCGGGGATAATGTCAGGGTCCGCTGATTGGCCATGATTAGCCTTTGCCGCCCAGCTTAATCAACTGACCTTTAATCAAGTAATCAGAATCAGTTTGTTTATTCTATTTTTATTTATTCGCCAGCTCGTTTATTTCTGCGCATTATGTGGGTGAAAGATCTGGGAGATCGCAAGAAGTGGTCAGTTTTTGGCGGAACTTTGGTCTGGTCAGTGGTTGATCCTCGACGAGCCGCCCTGAATCACTGGGTGATTCACCCAGACAAACAATCCTTATCATTAGCATTTCCTATCGGGCTAATTTCATTTAGATTGAGCACCATTTCTGCAGTCCGAAGTTTCTTTCGATTAGTTTATAAACTAACAGCCATTTTCATTGAATAGAATACTAAATGGTTCATAAATCATTTATGTTTATCCCTTTTATACTAATAAACCAAAACCTTTTAATATGAATCAGGTCAGGTTTGGGTAAAACATAAAGAATAATCTATTTAATTATTAAATATCTGAGGCATAAAATAAAAATAATCACTTCAAATTTATATCATCTTAAAAATGATTATTGTACCTTTTCGAAGAATTTAAAAGTGATTTACCAAATGACTTCTAACCACTATGGTAAGTTTATAAATGTTTTCCCCTGGAATAGGTAACAGATATTTCCCAGACATACTAGTATTAAATATTGTTTGGTAGTTTCGCAGAATCAAGAAAAGTACGATACACTGGACGACGTCAGTGATCGAAATTCATTCGCCGGAATTTAAGCGGACGACTCACACCCGGTAAACCAGAATTGGTGGATCCAAAGAATATATAAAAGGGGGATTGCTCGATCCGCTGGTGACGTTGGAGGAATTTACGCCATGTGCAAATTTTTGGAGAACTGCAAACTTTTCGACGCAACATTGTAGGAAAGTTTTTGTTTGCGAAAGAAAGGCGAAAGGAGAGGCGAAGGGCCCCCTGAAGGTTAGGCCGAAAACTATTCACATGTGGCGCCCATTTGTCAGGTGCTTATAAGGTGGTAAAATGCCAAACGATCGCAGCGTGACAGCCGCCGTTAATTGAGATTCCCTGGTGATAAGCGGTGAATTCTCTTAAATATTCGGATGAATTAAGAGACCAGCTGCAGCGTCCTACTATTTTCACTTTTCACACATTCCTCTCGTTTAAATGTTCAAATGCATCGCACAGTGGGCTTTTTAACGTACTTATTACGAATACTTATTATAACATTTATAAAGGGTCACGTTTCAATTTCAGCAATAATTATAGAATTAATTTACAAATTTTATAGAATCCCCTCACTACATTTATAATAATAATATATAATATAAAACTGAGGAGTTTTCCATCTTAAGACCATTGCGAAAAAAAGAAAATAAGGTTTTTTAAATATACTGATTTGGTTAATAAAAAGAGATAATTTATTATAATCGTAAAGTGTTTGGTTTATCTTATCTTTTTGCTTCTATTGTAAATTATACACCCTGAGAACTGACGGTTAAAAATATGGTTAAACCATTTTTATAAAATATCTTAAAAAGTTAATATATTTTTGACTTCAAAATTATTTATTTGATTTGTCGATATGTCTATTTTAAAAGAAGAATGCTATTTGCGATTATTTGATTTACAGTTTGAGTTTGAGTCAATCTAATCACTTGTTTTGAACTTATATTAATACTCAATAACAATGATTGGGGTAAAAAGGAGGATTTACCAAGTACAGTGGTAGACAGAATATGCACTTTTTGGATAAGAAAACACGCGATCATGATGAACTAGATTACGGACAACCCGAATCGAAATTGGACCCACTGTTGCATCAGCTTCACCGTCCCGTTCCAATCCGATCCCAGCCGATCCCATCCGATCCAATCGGATCCGAGTGCAAAAGTGGATCCCGAAGAGCGTGGAGAACGCTCCGAAGAGAGCGGAAGCAGAGCGGACGGCGACGTCGGCGCAAGAACTGGCGTTGGCGGCGGCATATATAAAACCTAATGCCAGCGCCGACTTCCCATTCAAAATCGCACACCTCAGCGCGCCGCGTGTCGCTCTTGGTTTCCCCCGGAATCAACAAAAATAACCACCCCAGAAATTAACCCAACCCCACACCAAAATCAAAAACCCAAAACCCACAATAATTTACCCAAAAATAAAAACGCGGTGTCAAAAAAATAATCCAAATCCAAAGTTAAGAACCCGACGCAAAATCTAGTAACCCCCAATAACATTTTTTTTTGCTGTGCGAAGCGAGACAAAGAAGAGTGCCAAAAAGAGAGCGAAAAGAGGATTAACAAACACAAAAAAGGAGCTAAAGAAACCAATGCAAAGATGTGTCACAATTCAGGGATCGTGGAGAAAAACAACGAGCAGCAGATCGAACGCTACATGGCCTGTGGAATGCCATCGAAGGCGGTGAGAAGTGTCCAGTACACGCTGAAGAAGCGCGAGAAGAAGGAGCAGCAGAGGAAGGATCTGCTGGAGCACAAGGAGCAGCAGTTCCTCGAGGATCTCGAGCTGAGCAGCAGCAGCAGCAGCTGTGATTCCTCCACCGCCGGCAGTGACAGCGAGGATAGCGGCGTTACCGAGACCCTGAAATCCCCAACACCGGTCGAGGCGGTCACTCCAAAGGTCAGCTCCACCAAAGCGTCATCCAAGAGCGACCTCTTGAGGTTCTGCCCTCGCTTCCGCAAACTGCAGCAGGAGCAGCAGCAGCAATTGCTCAAGGAGATGGAACTGCAGGAGGAGGAGATACCGGCCAGCACTTTGAAGGCCCAACAGCAGCGCAAGCTGAGCTCCATGGAGCCATCTATGGACGACGCCCTGGCCATTGGCACCCAGATGACGCGCCAGGTGTCCGAGAGAATCACCTGCCTGGTGGCCCAGCTGCAGGCCAGTCGCCTTTACACGTGAGTCTCTCTTTTGAATTTCATTATCATCGCAACAGAAGCAAACTTCCCAGCTATAATTATTTTCCCAGCAATAAATCATTTAATACAAAAATATTATTAACTTATTATCGCATAGTCCAAATAACATTGAAGAACTTTAAATCTGTCCTGACTTAACCTTAACAATATAATTCCCCACTAAATACCACTAACCAAATATTTCCGGTTTTAACAAATATATCACTTTCATTAAATGAGAATTCTGTATTGTAATATTTGCATTTGTAATTGTTAGTTTTTCGACCAATAAGGCCACTAATAATTTAATTTATGACATTTACTGCCGTTTCCACACATGCCGCAAAATGCATTTAAACTAAATGACAGGAAATACTGAGGTATTCCATTATTTGCCTAACAACAAAGTCGCAAAACCAATTAAGTTTGGTAGTATTTAGTATTTTTAGCACAAACTAATTATATTTCAGAATTTAGCTAGAGTGATAATTTTATTTATTTAAAAGTATGTAAAATATATTTTACAATTTGCAATTTATAGCTAAAGCATTTAATGATGTTCACGCCCCCCATATTAAATAGCTATAAATTCATCAGATGACATAAGGGAAACCCTACAAGCAGGTGGCACTATCACTTCTTATCAGTTATTGTCACGGCTGTGGATCATGATGATCACGGCTCTTTATTGATATTTATAAATGCAAATACATAGAGTCGTATAATTTTTCCACAGTCTGCTGTGTGTTCCTGTTGTCTAGGGCGCAAATCGTTATGCAAACAACGAACTCAAGACATTGCTCTATTATAAGACTAGGTGAAAGAACTGGTTTTAGAGGTCTTAGGTTCTTAACCTAATGAAGACGACAAAATAGTAACAGTTTATTTATAAAAAATTATATGTCGTCGATTTATAATTGATTTCTAACACAATGCCCATTTAAGCCAAATTTTTGACTGGCTTTGCAAATTTGTTTGTCGATAGCGAAATTACCAAAGCGATTGAATAAACAACCCGCTATCATATGTATGATTGTTAGCACCCCATTGATAATGCCTGGCAGCAGACGCGAAACTCAAACTCGTGACCTGCACGATATCGATCGGTACAGTGAAGCCCCAACCTATCAGCCTATAAACCTTAAACCCAAAGGAAACCCCAACGTTCTGGGTGATTCACTGGGATTTGGGCCAGTAGGGCAGCATTACTAACGAGAAGTGTGCGAATCTAAAAATACGATCAAGTGATATTCGCCTTGGCCGTAATGCTGACTCAATGTCAAGCGATAAGTTAACCCCTAGGTGGGCGCGGGGGTGTGTCTGGGCTCGGTCGTTATCTTGCGATCGCAGCGATATGACGACAATTGGCGAGTCAATAGAGTTCCCTAAGACCCCCCGAATCACCCGACGATCCGCAACCACCTGCTGGAGTGCAAAGTGCGATCGGGTCCTACGTCATCTGGGAGAGCTTACGATGGCGTACAGTGGCGGTCACAATAGCAGTATACACACATTTTAAAATGTATTACAAATACTTTTTAAATAATTGGAAGAGTCTTAACTGGTGTTTTCATTTGAAATCTCTTCTTTCTCTATTGTCGTTAACCCCAAATTGTATGCATATTAATTAAATTTGTATTATATATATTTTTTAAAAGAATTAATCGTTTGTCTTTATTATTTTGAACACAACTGTACCTTCTTTCTCTCTCTTTCTTTTCTCCATAAATCAGCTGGTTTCGCCGCATTTTATCGTGCCAGCTGGTTGCCAGCTGATTCGTCCGAATTCGCCCCAAGTGCAAGTGTAAAATTGCATTATGCACGCCTTATGTTTCGTATTTGCCAGTTTCTAGCATTAGTTCTGGTCTCCGCGAGAGCAACAGAGAGGGGGATAGTGGGGGGCGGCGAAAATGTACAATATTCGGTTGCATGCGTTTTCGCACGTACGCCACTTTGGCTCTATTCGCCGTACGAAAAAAAAAAACACGAATGGCGAAAAAGAGTGCAAAAAAGACATTAAAAAAACGTAACAGACGGATATGCAAAAATGACAGACGAAAGAGATGGGGGCGAGACGCAACAAATGCGTAGACACGAAAAGAAAGAGGCAGAGCTAGAACGAGGGAAAGAGAGAGAGAGAGACACATCGGAGGGACGGCGAATTCGAACGATCGTAGTCGGTGCAAATGTTCGCCGCAAATCAAATCTAATCAGACATGAGGGCCACGTGGGTACGTAATACCCATACGCCATACAACACCACTTCGCCCGCGGATCGGGCGGCTATATCTTTTTGGAGTTTGGACCAATGGCGATTGCGTACCAACTGCAAATATAAATCTACTGGCTAGACAATACAGAAATCGTTGCGACAGCACTTGTACCCCAAAATCAGATATTGTACAATCTTGTACTAAATGGGTCGAGAGAAACTGCATAGGTTTAAATATATTGATAATTCAAAGTTTACGATTTCTTCTTCATAACGGCATTATCTTTTGATAAAGTTTAACTTTATTAAGCATCAATTAACAATTTATCAAATTTAATTAAAAAATCAACGAATATAAGTGGTAATAATCAACATTTTAAATAATAATAACCTTTAATTGCAATTCAGTTTATTGATAAACACAATATTTATTCAATTGTTTAAATGATTTTTGAAAATAATTATAATTGCAAAACACCCATTATCCACCTTTATATCTTCTCAGCTATGTTAAATCGACGATTGTCATTTACTTATCGAACACTTTGCTATTTTATTACAGAATTCTGACGCGTACAACACAACCAGCACACTTGATAGCCGTTTGCATATTGGCCTTTGTGCTGATGACTGTGGGACGCGACCTCATCGACCCAACGACATCTGTAGCACCACAACCGGCAACAGAAATAGAAACGGAAACGACGAGAACAGCAACAGGTGGCGTACTGGCAGCCCTAGTTTTCCTGGGCGCCTTTGCCACCCACTTTGGGTCGCAGATCTGGATGACATTTGTCTCGGGTAAGTGTCCTCCAATCGCAGGATCTTCGGGAAACATCCATGAGCATTCGTCATCCGTCAGCGGTTCATTGTGCCTTTTTAAGCCATCGTCATCAAGCTTTTGAGAAACCATCTAACTTTAGGAAGATTAAAACTCAGGATTCATTCAGGATCAGGATTCAGTGATCATTGCTAATCAATCCAACAACTGGAATTTAGTTTAATAATTTTAATTCAGCCATCAGTGCTTTCTTAATGATCTCAGATCATCCGTCATCAATTTGCCAACTTTGGTAGCATATATTGGAAACCGAAATACTTAAAAAATAAGTATTAACCGAAAAAAAAGGAACATGTTCATCATCTAAGATCCACGATCAGGATAGAAATCTCCAAAATAAACAGATCCATGCCATTAAACTACACTTCGCTGTATTCATTTAGGTCAGCCATACAAAAATCGTAATTACTTTTGGTAGAGCCCCTTGCTAAGCGAATCAAATGACTAATGGACCTTCTTTTGCCCATATCCTTGCAGGTCTCTCGCTATATTTCTCCCTGCCCCGCCACGTTTTCGGACAGTGCCAGCAGATCCTGTTCCCGCGCTACTTCGCCCTGAACGCCATTCTCAGTCTGACGATGCTGGTGGTGTATGCCAAGTATTTCCTCACCGGATGGACGACAGCGGCGGGCATCCAGATGGGATCGCTGGCCTTGGCGGCGGGCATCGAGGTGGTGGTGCGGCTCTATCTGGTGCCACCGATGCTGCAACTGATGCACGAGAAGTACAGGATCGAGGATGCGATCGGCAGTGGACAGGAGGTGGGCAGCCTCGTCCAGGGCGACCTTGTCGACTGTCCGCATTATCAGCGCATCCACAAGGGATTCCGGCGCATCCACATGACAATCGCCATTGGCAACATGACGGTCATGCTGACCACCTGCCTGCAGCTGTATTTTCTGGCATCGAAAATACGCCTCAGCTAAGGCAAAAACCGGAGTGAAGAATTTATAGATTAAGGCTCACATCATTGTAACAATCACTTCTCACACACACCGTATTTCAATGTTCGATAATTGTCTCAAATTTATATTGCTTATTGAACCATTGATCTATCGAGCTGGTTGTAAACGATCAAGCGGCAGCATCTGCATCGTTTACATCAGACTTTTGAATGCCCTTCCTCCGCCCCACGCACACCCACACACAAAAATATTTAATTTATCCCGAGGACGCCTCGTTTTCTGCGACCTTGCAATCTGATTTCCTGTGATAAGCTCAGCCCAACTCCCACTACACCACCCACCACCACCCACCACACGCGAACCCCAGCACATTTAGCCCATAGTCGATAGCCAATAATTTACACAGAATTATTAAATAATAGCCTATTGATAATTAATTATACGGTTTTTTTTTTTCGAGCAACAGCACGCAAATTCATTAATTTTCTTCTGTTATTTATTAATCCATTGAAACTATGTTTTTCTCTGATTTAAGTGCGGATGTTTTAGTGAATATAATTTATATAAAAACAAACAAAAAACAACAAAAGAAAGCAAAACAAAAACTAAAAAAGTCAAAAATTAAACACAAAAAACAAAAAAAAAATTAAATTAAATAAAATAAATAAAAATATCCCAGCAAAGTCAATGTGTACAATTCAAATGATTGTTTTTCTTTTGGTTCTTTGATTCGATTGGCGATTCCACAAAAAGTATGGGTCATTTTGTTGTCTGGAAATCAATTTACTCGAATTAAGTGATATTGATTGAGCTGCCTACTTTTCGGATGACTGAAGTTAATGGGGTTAGGGGCCTCAGAATTGAATTAATATTTTACAGAGTGCTCACTTGGTAAAACTTTAATTTATTAGCTGTACACACTATATGGAAAATTTATACAATTTTATTGATTAATGTTAGAATTTGGTTTTTTTCTTCTGTTTAAATGAATAGGTTTCTCGTATTTAAACTGTTTTTTATTGTTTTTAAAATGTATTAATATTCATATTTAAAATAACAGAAGTTTTTGTAAGCTTTTAAAATGTTATCAAATATTGAATTCTGTTTATTTTATTAAAAGGTTTAAGATGAAAATGTTATAATAGCTATGAGCAATACATAATGTAAACAAAATTTACATTTTGTAAGTCTTAATTAAAAAGTCTTTGTTTTAAACAAAAACGAGGACGGAAGCTAACTTCGGCAAGCCGAAGTTTTAATACCCTTGCAGACTTTGACGAAATTGCTAAAAGTGAAAAAGTAGCGAAAGGAATAAGGTATACATAAGTAAACTAGATTTGCATCGTTTCAAGTCAATTGCTTTTATACTGCAAAAATGTCATATACAAAAGGGATACTTTCGCAGCCTTTAACAATTTTTACTATCTCCTTTAAGATATAGACTTCCGAGCGGCAAGCGCTTTTACCCTAATCAAGATATGCGTAAATAAATAAGAATTGGAAAATTTTATGTTAGTAGCTTACACACTGCGCGAAATATTCTGATAATCATCAAATTTGGACCGATTTCACCCTATTGTTCTTATGGGAGCTATAGGATATAGACGTATGTCAATAGCTTATACACTGCGCGAAATATTCTAAAAAACATGAAATTTTGACCGATTTCACCGTATTGTTCCTATTGGAGCTATAGGATATAGACGTCCGATCAGCACGCGCTTTTACCTTGATGAAGGAATGCATAAAAAAATACGATTTGAAAAAATGTACAGCAATAGCTTTTACACATCGCGAAATATTCTGAAAAACATCGAATTTGGACCGATTTTACCCTATTGTTCCTATGGGAGCTATAGGATATAGACGTCCGATCGTCACGCGCTTTTACCCTGATCAAGGTACGCATAAAAAAATAAGATTTGGAAAGATTTATGTCAATAGATTTTACACTGCGCGAAATATCCTAAAAATCATTAAATTTTAACCGATTTTACCCTATTGTTCCTATGGGAGCTATAGGATATAGACGTCCGATCGCCACGCGCTTTTACCCTGATCAAGGTATGCATAAAAAATACGATTTGTAAAGATTAATGTCAATAGCTTTTACACTGCGCGAAATATCATAAATTCTTGCAAGATATATCCAATTGTTCCTATGGGAGCTATAGGATATAGACGTCCGATCGGGGCGATTTTCAAACTTGATCTGCGTACACATGTTTTAGGACGATTGTGAAAGTTTCAGATCGCTAGCTTTTAAACTGAGCTCGCAAACGGTATTGAAACAGACGGACAGACGGACAGACGGACAGACGGACAGACGGACAGACGGACATGGCTATATCGACTCCCCTATTGATCCTGATCAAGAATATATATACTTTATGGGGTCGGAAACGTCTCCTTCACTGCGTTACAAACTTCTGACCAAAATTATAATACCCTCTGCAAGGGTATAAAAAAACATACCAATCTTTTGCCCCTAAAATATTTTCTATATTCCTAACTGATACCAGAAATACGTAAATTATATATATACTTGTTTTAGAGTTCTTCTTCTAAGTAGTACTCGAATTGAAATATTTTTATTTTTGTTTAGAAGTACTCAGATAGCTAAATGAATTAATAAATAAGTGTGCCACTTACCGCCTCGATTTCCTGCTCAAATATCACGGGTCTCAGCCGGCACAGCACCACGACGAGATAGACAAAGTTGACGAACAGGCCCATGCTCGACCACAAAACTAAGTCCGGGGTGCAGGCGACCAGATAGCCGTGCATGCCCATCATCAGGCAGCCAATGAGCAGCGTGGCCCGCATCCACAGCGATCCGTAGGGACCGTGGGGGGCCAGGAAGGCCAGGAAGAGGAAGGCCCAGCCGAGCTGAAAGTACAGGTGATGCGGCTGCTGCCATCCGAAGCACTGTTCGATGGACCAGTCGCCGGGATTGATCGATCGCAGGGTGCCATTGTTGTCCCAGGTGATCGTACCGCTGCTGGCGGCACTCGTACCCGCCGTGCTCTGGGCAATCAAGGTGCCGGCGGAGGCCTCTGCTCCAGATCCAGATACAGCTGCTCCGCCTAGTCCGATGCCCATGACACTACTGGCACTACTACCGGCACTGTTGATCAGAGCGCCCATCCCAACGCCCGCTGCACTGCCCGCCGTGCTGGGCATTCCAATGATACTGCTCCTCCTGCTGACCCTGCGCCTCCTGCTGATCCTGCTCCTCCTGCTCCTCCTGCTAATCCTGCTCCTCCTGCTGATCCTCCTGATCCTGCTCTCCCCTTAGCTACCTTCGTTTCAGTCTGTCGCTCTCCTCAGCCTGATCTTTAAGCTAGTTTTTGAAACACCTCTTTTTAATCACTCTGTTTCCCCAAAGGGTTGGTGTATCCGCTGGCTTCACCGTTTGGTTGTTGTCTCCTCTCAGTCCAAAAACACTTGTTTTCCGGTATTTGCGTTTAAAAAAAGTATTGCGTTTTTCCTTTACCTTTAATTTGTATGGTTTACTCGAAGTTTTCTATCATTTCTGTGGTGGTATTGTTATTTCTGCTGCCCTTTTCGAAAATGTTGTGATGAGCGGTTAGTGTCTCGAATAGATAGTTGTCAGCGGTTGATGTCCTCGGTAATACAAGATTAAATTAAATGTAATTTAATTATTATGGTTTATAAGCCGTTTAGATTGTGGTTTTAGCTGCTAGTTGATATTCTGTTATTCCTGCCGTTTAAATTTTTGTTATTGCTGGCGTTCTTCTGTTTTCAATTTTTGTAAAATTATGCTTGGACTATTGTTATTGCTCCTGTAATTCTTGTTGCTGCCACTGAATTTCTAGCTGATGTTGCTCCTGGCACTGTTGCTGCTGCTACTGCTGCTGCTGCTGCTGCCGCCTGTCACATTGTAGCGTCGTTGAGGCAGCTGCTGAAAGAAATGTAACAAAAACATTGTCAGTAAAATCCAATAAAATACGAATTAGCCATTAAAATGTAATTGAAATGTAATAAAAAAAAAACCTTTTTAAAACAGCACCACTCTCCCAATAAATAAAGAGACTTCCATATTGCAGCAGTAATACGCCATAAAATCGGTGGCAATTAGATGGCGGAATTCATTAATAAATTGTTAATCAATACTGCAACGCAGTTAGTTAAACACCTTTGGGAACTTTTTCAGGTGTTAGCAAATGCCCCAATTCTTAGAGATCGCAGTAATTAAGCCACTCCCTCAAAAATTCAATGAATTGCACATTCAAATAGTATTTAACTATTAAATATTTCCATAGAAAAATAAAGTAAATTTAAGTTTTGGAGTTTATAGAAGATATTATATACATGTATAAAAACTATCATTCAATCTCAACTTACTTTTATCTATTTTATAAGTAAAAAATAAATAATTAATCAACTACATTTGGGAAGTAGGAAGTCGGTTATTCAATGCACATTCTTGATTGTGATTGTTATTTGTAAAACGATCCCTTGTCATCCGAGTATTGCATTTCCCCATTGGAATTTAATGCAACAATCTGATAAGAATTAGTCAGCGGATTAAAGGGAAATATGTAGTCATATTACTATGAGAAATGTTTTATATTGAGCTAGGCTTACAAATCGTGGCATGTTTTGCTTTTGTTTAGGAAATCTATTACTCCCCAGACAATCTCTAGCACTCCACTGACCTCCTCGTTTCGTATCTGCAAATCTGCATGAATTCACGGAAATCCCAAAATACATATATCATACGAATATCTACACAAAATCATGGTAATCCGAAATAAATCATACGAAAATCCACAGAAATTCACGGAACCAAAGACTATCTGCAATTTTTTGTTGGGCGATAGAGATCCGCACAACCTGTTCCCGACTCGGCCAGGCCAACAAAACTTGGTCAAAACTCTCCAGAGGGTATATACACATAAAGAACAAAGCAAACAACGGGTGCGAGTTTTGTTTGCTGACCTCAATAGAGAACGGCAACGAAAAACTAAAATAAAAACAAAAAACACTGGGAAAGTGGCCAAAAGTGGGTGAGGGTATGGTCTATATGGTCTGCGGTCTATGTATATTTTATAGTGTTGGGGTTGGTCTGGTGAGTGCGACTGGAAAACGAAACATTTCCGGCCTGGACTTGAATAATAAAACAAAGCCAGCGAGTAGGAAAGATAGTGTGGAAGGAAAAGGGAGACAATAGAGAAACGGAGGGCAAAAGAGCGTCAAGGAAGGGCATCAAAATAATCAATTTGATGTCGCAAAGTTTGTGGTCAGCAATGCACAGAGAGAAAATGCATATATGTATATATATATTTACCTTAAATGTTTGTATGCAAAGCATAAAAAAAGATATTTAGCAAATTAGATATTTAGCAAATAAGATATTTATCAAATATTTAATACTTATTTAATATTTTATACTTAAAAAAGCTATTACGGAAATAATGTGACCATGCACCTTGCAGGTTTATTCATATTTAAACCCTGTTCTATCTCATTATAAACCATCTATAAAACATTTTAGTCCTAAAACATATGCATTGCTATTGAAATGATTATTTTTAAACAGTAATTAAATAAATAATGAATAAATTTTGTATGGTAAAAATGGTCCTATAAAACTATATATATTTTTCCTCAGTGTGGGTATTGAAAGTGGTCAGCCAACCGTTGACAGACAGTCTGCTAATGATAATAATGATCATGATGCACAAGTGATGTCGACTGTGTTGACTGCGTTACTCAACACTTTGCATATTGGGTGCACTGCAACAATGTCTTCGGCGTGTGGTTGATAATAATAATGATAATGATGATGATTGTGGCACACATCAGCCACAAAAACAAACAAGGCCAACGCTTCCTCGTCATTATCATCAACGCTTGGGGGTGTGCAACAAAACAAAGCAATGCAAATTAACTTTGATTACCACGAAAGCGAATACCCTCGAAACACAAAAAAAATAATAAGCCAAAGATTGCAAAAGTCACCAAAATTATAGTACAAAAAAAATGTATTATTTATATTTAATAGTGCTAAATACTTGTAAAAAAAAATGTTCATTTAAATCTTAATAACAAAGACTGATTCTAATAAAATCAAGTTAAAGGTTTCAAATAAACATGTTTTGCTCAGTAAAATTAGTTTTACAAAACTATGCCCATTCTTTTACAAAAACTGTTCTATAAAATTATGTAAAGATGTTAATTTCGTTGAGAAGTTTGGTAAAATCATGTCAACAAATAAACATGTTATTCTAACTAAAACTAGTTTTACAAGCGATCTTAAATATGTTAATCAGTTATTATTATCAAATACCTCAGGTTGATGAGTCATATTACCAATAATTGTAGTTTTATTATTTCAAAATATAAAATAACTTTTAAAGAATTTTAATTTTTCTTAAAAATTGTTCTTTATAAAATTAAAATCTATTAAATTTAAATACCGATTGAGTACTAAAATAAGGTATTTCTTTTGAACTTTTTTTATAAAACATAAAACGTAGCTAGTAATTGCTAACTATTACCACCAATTATGGTTTGCTTAATTGGTTTAAAGGGTCGGAAATGCTTTCTCTGAAGCGTGGCCAAATTCGAAAACTATAAATACCTTCTGTAAAGGGTATACCCACACCAACGCACGCACACACACTGTTAGCAACAACAAAAATGTGGGCAGAGAAGATGAAGTCATCGGTTTCTTGCCTTGAAAAAAAAACACACACAACACGAAAACCAAATGCAAATACAACTAAGCGCGACTTGGCTTAAAAGACCAGAAATTAAAGTCCATAACCAAAAGTAAAATGGGTACAACGCGAACGAAGCAAGCAAAAAACTAGAAAAAAAAAATAAAAATAAATATCGGGGCGAGATCCAAAAATGTAAAATTTAAAAAAATGTGTACTACAAGAAATCCACAAAAAGAAGTACTAATAAATGAAAGTTTAACCAACTGTAAGATGCTCTTTTCAAAATGTTAAATTAAATTTTATTTGTTTAATGTTTAAATATATTCCCAAATAAGATATTAAAATAAAATAATCACTAAGTGCAATCACCAAATTTTAAAACCCCTTAGGATAACTCACAAAGTTGTTAACTCACATCAAAATTAGAGTATTTGTAGCTATAAAAACCATTAAGACAATTAAAGCGACCACGCAGTTAATTTATATCAACAATGCTGGTAAAACACTTCAAAAAATTTTAACAGAACAAAGGAAAAACTGGAGAGTAGAAATGCAGACTGGGAAACTTTTAATGCGAAAACGCCAATAAGTTGTGGCCGAGCGTTTACTGATAATTGCCAGAAGAAAGGGAAAAGTCGTTGGGTGAAAATAGGTGAAAAGGGCGGGTTGAATAGACTGGCATGTCAATGCCCGGTGACAATATTGGAAAAGTGGGGGGTTAATGTGCGATATGGGGTCCATCTCCGCGCTTTTTCCCCTATTTTTTCCGTTCATTTTTTGTTCGTGGTAATTTCGTATCGAAGTAATCGATTGCCTTTGTCCAGCAATTGCTGTTTGCTCAGTCGCAATCAACGTAAAATCGTCGTGGGGGGCATCTAATGAGATATCGCGTATAGCTATTACATATAAGCGATTTGAGTTTGTTTGCATTTTCCTACAAATCGATTGAATCATGTTGAAGAGAAAGTCCCGATTCATAACCGAATTTGTGGTTTCTTTGCCTAATCTTGAATAATGATTTCATGAGCAATATGCTATTTCCGTTTCAAAACTATTTTGGTCTAAAATAAAACATGCAATTAAAGTTAAATATTCCTCAATTTTGAAATTCTCTGTTTAAAATGTTATTTGTTGTATAATTTGAAAATACATAATTGCATTATAAGTGATTAAATCGGATAAACCTATTTCGAACTAGTCGATTCCGCTTATCTTAGGGTATTACAATATCGTTAGGAAGTTATAAGCGACCCGCAGAGTTTCATATCTTGCTCAATTCTAATTGGTATTTGGCCCGCAGACATATTATGGTCGTAATCCAATTGGAAGCGGAACTTGTATGACAACAATTGGAAATGGAACCGTCGATTGAAAGGAAAATACAAAAAACAGAGAGAACATGAAACAAAGCAAAGTTTATATACCCTTACATTTGAGAGAGATTACTTATTCTGGAGATTACTTATTCATCGGAAACACAAAAATAACCAACATGAAAATGGGTCAAAAATTTGATCAACCCTAAAATGAAAATTTTGAATGCAGATTTTTAGAGAATCCAATCACAAATCTTTAGAGGTATGCCACGTTGAAATCGGATTATATTTGGTAAAGTTATGGAATCTAGGAGCCCAAATGTGGGTCACCTTTGGGCAACTCATCGGAAACTTATAAATAACCAACATGAAAATCGGTCAAAAAGTCGATCAACGCTAAAACGAAAACTTTGAATGCAAATTTTTAGAGAATCCAACCACAAGTCTTTAGAGGTATGCCACGTTGAAATCGGATTATATTTGGTAAAGTTATGGAATCTAGGAGTCCAAATGTGGGTCTCCTTTGGGCAACTCATCGGAAACTTAGAAATAACCAACATGAAAATGGGTCAAAAAGTCGATCAACGCTAAAACGAAAACTTTGAATGCAGATTTTTAGAGAATCCAACCACAAGTCTTTAGAGGTATGCCACTTTGAAATCGGATTATATTTGGTAAAGTTATGGAATCTAGGAGTCCAATTGTGGGTCACCTTTGGGCAACTCATCGGAAACTTAGAAATAACTAACATGAAAATGGGTCAAAAATTTGATCAACCCAAAATTGAAAATTTTGAATGCAGATTTTTAGAGAATCCAACCACAAGTCTTTAGAGGTATGCCACTTTGAAATCGGATTATATTTGGTAAGGTTATGGAATCTGGGAGTCCAATTGTGGGTCACCTTTGGGAAACTCATCGGAAACTTAGAAATAACTAACATGAAAATGGGTCAAAAATTTGAAAAACCCAAAATTGAACATTTTTAATGCAGATTTTTAGAGAATCCAACCACAAGTCTTTAGAGGTATGCCACGTTGAAATCGAATTATATTTGGTAAAGTTATGGAATCTAGGAGTCCAATTGTGGGTCACCTATGGGCAACTTATCGGAAACTTAGAAATAACCAACATGAAAATGGGTCAAAAAGTCGATCAACGCTAAAACGAAAACTTTGAATGCAGATTTTTAGAGAATCCAACCACAAGTCTTTAGAGGTATGCCACTTTGAAATCGGATTATATTTAGTAAAGTTATGAAATCTAGGAGTCCAATTGTGGGTCACCTTTGGGCAACTCATCGGAAACTTAGAAATAACCAACATGAAAATGGGTAAAAAATTTGATCAACCCTAAGTTGAAAATTTTGAATGCAGATTTTTAGAGAATCCAACCACAAGTCTTTAGAGGTATGCCACGTTGAAATCGAATTATATTTGGTAAAGTTATGGAATCTAGGAGTCCAATTGTGGGTCACCTATGGGCAACTTATCGGGAACTTAGAAATAACCAACATGAAAATCGGTCAAAAAGTCGGTCAACGCTAAAATGAAAATTTTGAATGCAGATTTTTAGAGATTGCAACCACAAGTCTTTAGAGGTATGCCACTTTGAAATCGGATTATATTTGGAAAAGTTATGGAATCTAGGAGTCCAAATGTGGGTCTCCTTTGGGCAACTCATCGGAAACTTAGAAATAACCAACATGAAAATGGGTTCAAAAGTCGGTCAACGCTAAAATGAAAATTTTGAATGCAGATTTTTAGAGAATCGAATCAGAAGTCTTTAGAAATATGCCACTTTGTAATCTGCTTAAGTTTGGTAAAGTTATGGACTATAGAAGCCGAAGTGTGGGTCACCTTTATACAAAGCATCGAAAACTTAGAAAGAAATAACATGAAACAAACTTTTAACTGAAATTATAATACCCTCTGCAAGGGTATAAAAATGAAAGAATCGACATTAGAGTCGTAAGCGTAGTAAAGGTTTAATTACACGAAATTAATGGTGTAAAAAACACAGCGCTGGAAGCATTTCGAGTGTTCCCCTTTGTTATTTGTAATTTTTTAACAATTTTGGTGAGGCAGCAAGTGGAGAATGGAGTGAGTGTGAAACGGCGGCAAATAGTTTGTCTTTTCTCTCGCCAATTTCCGTTTCCCACGTGTAAACAAAAATAATAATAACAATAACGAGACAGCAGCTACATTGTCTCCCTATATGGCATATTAAATTTTACATTGTTTTTATGGTCGAAAACGAGCAAAACAAAATCAAATTTCTTAAATTACTTACGAGCGAAAGCAGAAATACCAAAAAAACTAACTTAATCATTCATCGGCTATGTAAATGGGTTAGGAAATGGCCGTCATAAAAATACATACATATAAAATTGATGGATTACCAGACTAATGGGGTCTTCAGTCAATTTTCGGCTGCTTCATAACTCTTGGTAATAGGAAATTTTCAATTATGAAAAACAATTATCAACTTTTAAATTACAATTTTCATCTAGAGACGGACAACTGATAAGGAAGTATTTCCATACTGCAAATATACATAGCTCTGTTTTTTGGCACAAAAGGCCTCTTATCTTATCTGCATACTTTTAAAGATGCAATATAAAGTAGCAGGCAGTTATCCGACTTTATGGATAAGATAGTGTGTGAAAATAATTGTGAACTTACTTTTTTGTAGGAATTTTAAGGTTATTAATAAATAAAATCATTAAATATTTATCCAATTTTAAATCTTTGCATACAAAATATGTCATTAAACTATTATATGATATTTTTTTCTGTTTTAGGAACACATTCAGTTTTCATTATCAGAAGTGATTTGATTTGCATATAAATTTAAAGTTATAAAAAAAAGCTAAAGGCAATCTTTAAGTTATTTTTTAAATACTATTATTATTACTACAAATGCTTTGATTATATCTAGATCTGTTTAACATATATTTTTCTGAACCTATTTGATTTTTCCAATTGGTTTTGTAAATATTATTTGAGTGATGCAAATTAATTTACTACTTTTTGGGAACTTGAATACTTATAAATATGTGACCCCCCGATCCTCCCTCTCTTTCGCTCGTCTAGGCACACAAACTTCCATAAATACACACACTCGAGAGAGTTGCATGCTAGAAATGCCATGCAGATGCAAATACAAAAACACCCACACACTCACACAAACATTGTGGGGATGGGGTGGTTGTGGGTGTGTGTATGAGTGTGGGGGGTAAAAAGAAGTTGGAGTTTGATTTCCTTTGCTTCCCCCTTCCCCCACCCACCATCTTCTTCTACTTTGATGCGTGCTGGCAACTGCAATCGCTGCCCTCTGCCGACTTCGCTGCCACCACCACCCTCACGCACACACTTTCATACATCCCAATATACACATATACATAACACATGCATTTTTAAAAGCGTGTTGATGTTCGATTTTTCACCATTCTTGCTGCATATTACACACAAAAACACACATTCACGTTGGTTATTATTTAATTATTTTTTGGCGCGACTTCAATTAATAAAACTAACAACAACAACGCCGCAAGTATATATACACACATACACACATTTGTATATTGCACATAACAAAGCTGCCACTCAAAAAAAAATTTAACTAGCAGATCAAACACATGTACACGCAGATAGGTGGGCCCATGTGTTAGTGAGAACAATTTGTTGTTAAATATTTAACACGTGAGTTCTATGCTTTTTTTATGTTTTGGGTAGTTTAAGGGAGAACATTTTCTTCTATTTACCAGCAGAAGTCAACTTGTATTTACTCCGCTCTGCGTTTTTTTGGGGGTTTGCTCTATTTTCTTTGTTGAAAATATATATATTTGAAAATCTGATAAATATCAGTTGTTTTTCACTGGATACCGTGGTTTTTCTGCCCGGCGATTTATCCGATGTTTTCTTGTCATATTTTGTTCGAGATTTTTTTAAAACGTAACGAAAACACGAGCAGCGGTGCTTTTATATGGGAACTGGAAAAATATGGCAATATAAACGGTTCTCGCGCTCTCGCGAGAGCACAGTAATCCTCTCTCGCGCTCCCTGAGAGCCAAAAACAGCTGGCAAATGAGCGCAGGAACAGCCGGTTATAAATTACCGATTTAAATACCAGCTATGCTTTTAAGTGACTCACTAATAGTAACTAACCATAAGTCAAGAATAAACTGTCGAAAGACCACAATGACTGGGCAGAAAAGAAAGCGCGGCTAAAAAGGAAATAATACAAAAAAGAGCCCAGCTGGCAGAGTTGTCACCAACGCCGCCGATAACCAGACGATAGTACGCGATAACGATAGCACTCTTCGCTGTTTGCCACGAATTGCAAGTTTGCAATTCCGTCGCATTAAAGTTTTAGCTTTTATTTTGTGCAAAAACATCAATAATAGTTGATCCCCTAGTGCGGCATAAGTAGTCCTGGACACCCGGAATTCAATAAACTCCACGTACCGGTGACTTTGCAGTTTATAAACCGAAATAAACAACGCCGAAAAACGCCGGCAGGCGGAAGAGGGAGAAAATGACGCTGGACGTGGGCGGCGTCGCCCGGGGACTGCTCACCTGGGAAAAGCAGGAGCACCTAGTTAAACTGGCCATTCTCATCCTAGCGGCGGTTCTATGTGAGTAAATTGGACGGATTTTCGGTATATAATACGAGTGGGCGTGCTGAAAAAAATCAAACATTCGCATCTGGTTGAAGCTTCCTTTCTATCGATAGCACGATAGTTGGTGGCGGTGCATCGCTAGAGACTAGGGATGCCAGAACCATATAAGATGTTTATTATAGTAAAGTTTTATTTTATAGTAAAAATTTGGATATAATTCTTCAATACATTATATATATATATGATTCCAAAAACCCATTCTTGACCATTTCATAAAGTAAAGTATCGCCAGAATATAAAAGGCAATGTTTCGCCAGCCCTGAAAAATATATCGATAGCCTTAGCCGATAAACGTGCGTGTGCCACCACCAGCCGCGCGTCTTCCTCTTCATCGACGCCGAATTGACTTCCTTTTCCTCTTTTTATTTGAACGTGGATTGAATAGCATTCGCCACACGCTTGTTTTCCGTGCTGCGATTCGAGAGCGTGATCCATGAGTTCGACCCGTACTTCAACTACCGCACCACGCGGTTCCTGGCGGAGCAGGGTTTCTACAAGTTCCACAACTGGTTCGATGACCGCGCCTGGTATCCTTTGGGCCGCATCATCGGCGGCACCATTTACCCCGGACTGATGCTCACCTCGGCGGCTCTATATCGCCTGATGTGGCTGCTCAACGTGACCATCGACATCCGGAACGTGTGCGTCTTCCTGGCGCCCTTCTTCTCCTCGCTGACCACACTGGTGACCTACGCCCTCACGAAGGAGATCCACGTAAGTCACAATAATGACTAGGGACACCAGATAATAAACTTAATTTATTCCTGTTCGCACGATCTTTATATTAATGCAAAGAATAAACAGGTTAGGCCAATAAATTCCCAAGTATTTATAACCAAAGATTATACTGCTACCACTTAACTACAACTTTCTTGTATTTCGGATAGAACTTCAAAAATATTGGAAAGAAATTAATTTTTATGTAATGTGTACTTTCTAATCAAGAAATTCAAGATTACCAAAGATGTATTAAGCAGTTTTGAAATCCTATAAAACAATTCAAATACCAACGCTTTTGTTTTACTTGTTTGTATAGTCTATACATGAGAAATCTGCAAGAATACAAAAGCTTTTTGTAACGCATTACAAATTTTAAGACTTTCTTTTATGTTAAGAATGCCCGAGAAATGATAATAAAAGTGGGACACAGTGTTTTTCACTTCGAGGTTACGTCGCACACGTGGTTCTAATTTTTCCCTCCTTTTATTTTAGAGCACTGGAGCTGGTCTGGTGGCCGCCGCCTTGATCTCCATCGTTCCTGGATACATCTCGCGATCTGTGGCAGGATCGTACGACAATGAGGGCATCGCCATCTTCTGCATGCTGTTCACCTACTATTTGTGGATAAAGGCCGTAAAGACGGGCACGATCTTTTGGTCAGCCATGTCGGCTTTGGCCTACTTTTATATGGTATCCTCGTGGGGAGGCTATGTCTTCCTGATTAACCTAATACCGCTGCACGTGCTGGCGCTGATGATCACCGGTCGCTTCTCGCACAGGATTTACATAGCGTACAGTACGCTCTACTGTGTTGGCACCATTTTGTCCATGCAGATCTCTTTTGTGGGATTCCAACCTATCCAGAGTTCGGAACACATGCTGGTGAGTTTTCACTTCTGCCTTATACTTCAAAAATTTGTAATGCTAGTGATCTTTTGTGATGAATATTTTATAAATTCTTGATAGGAAGAGTATGAAACATAATGAGTACGACAAAAACAAGCTGATTTGATCTCTAGTTAAAAATCATGTTAATTTACTTGTTAAACTTAGTTAAGACTGTAATTAATAGCTTTTCTTTCTTTTTTAGGCATTGGGAACCTTTGGATTGTGCCAAATTCACGCCTTTGTAGACTATCTGCGCTCTCGCATTCCCAAGGATCACTTCGATCTGCTCTTCAAGACGCTGGTGTCCAGCGTGCTGACTGTGGTGTTTGTTGTGGGCACCCTGCTCACACTTACAGGGAAAGTCTCGCCCTGGACTGGCAGGTTTTACTCGCTGCTAGATCCGTCCTATGCCAAGAATCACATTCCAATCATTGCCTCGGTGTCGGAACACCAGCCGACATCATGGTCGTCTTTCTACTTTGATCTGCAGGTGGGTTTTGTTGCGAAACATTAGTTTTGTAAGACAACATTTTCGAGAACTGTTAAAGTGAGCTTTCTATTAAGTATTACCGAATTTAAAATTTTGTAAAAATTACTAGTTTTGTACGTAAAATTTTAAAAATTTTGAAGTATACCTTTAATTGAAATTCGTGTTGTTTTACATTTCGCTAAAATACCAAATATAACGAGTAAAAAGCTTATACAATTTTTGAAATCTTTAAAGCCAATACAATTTAACACTGTTTAGAAAGTCTTCAATTTAATTGAAAAAGCTTGCATATTAATAAAAATAATCTAAAAAAAATTATCTGCTGAAGATGAAAACTTAACCACGATGCGAATGAGATGCGCCTTAATGCATTTGAATGATTACCTTGCACTTTGATCGCTGAGGCAGTAATATATAATCTTTTTTCACTTAACCCATCCAGTAAAAACTAATTTATTAACTTATACATACCTTGCAGATCCTGGTGTTCCTCTTTCCCGCCGGCCTGTATTTCTGCTTCTCCAAGCTGACCGACTCGAATATCTTCATTATTTTGTATGGCGTTACCAGTATTTATTTCGCCGGTGTGATGGTCCGTCTGATGTTGGTCCTGGCGCCCGTGATGTGTGTATTGTCCGGAATCGCCATATCGCATCTACTGGCCAAGTATGTCAAGAGCGTGGATGCGGGCGGATCGGCGAAGCAGGGTGCGGAGAGCAAGCGGCAGCACAAGAAGCTGGAACAGCAGACAGGCGGCGTGAAGAGCGAGGTGGCCATAGGATTTGTGGGTGTCATCACACTGATGCTGATCGTCTACACGCTGCACTGCACCTGGGTCACCTCGGAGGCGTACTCCTCGCCCAGCATTGTGCTGAGTGCCAGGTCGCACGACGGTGGACGGATCATCTTCGATGACTTCCGCGAGGCTTACTACTGGCTGCAGATGAACACCCCGGAGGTATGTTTCTGGTTTCGATTGCCTTTCCATCCAGCTTACGCCTACTTAGCCATCATTTGCTTAAATAAAATGCTAGTCATTTTAAAAATAGCATTTTCATCTGGCTAAGTTGGCGGCACTGGATTTCCACCTTTTCATGATGACTACATTGTAAATTCTTGATAGGAAGAGTATGAAACATAATGAGTACTAAAACAACCAAGCTGACTAAACACAACATTACTTTTCTTTTGCAAATTTGCATAAGTAGCCGAACTAATCTATTGATCTAATTGTATTTTTCAGAATGCGCGCATAATGTCCTGGTGGGATTATGGCTACCAAATAACAGCCATGGCCAATCGAACGATATTGGTGGACAACAACACCTGGAATAACACGCACATATCGCGCGTTGGCCAAGCGATGGCTTCGTCGGAGGAGAAAGCCTACGAGATAATGCGTGAACTGGATGTGGATTATGTCCTTGTGATATTCGGAGGACTCACGGGCTACTCCTCGGACGATATCAACAAGTTCCTGTGGATGGTGCGCATTGGCGGCAGTACGGATCGTGGGGCGCACATTCGTGAAAAGGATTACTATGCGGCCAATGGCGAGTTCCGGGTGGACAAGGAGGGTTCACCCACATTGCTCAACTGTTTGATGTACAAGATGTGCTATTATCGTTTCGGCCAAATGTACACTGAAGGTGGCAAGGCCCAGGGCTACGATCGAGTTCGGGCGGCCGAAATCGGCAACAAGGACTTCGAGTTGGATGTCCTTGAGGAGGCCTACACCACGGAGCACTGGCTGGTGCGCATCTACAAGGTCAAGGATCTGCCAAATCGCGGTGTCTGAAGACGAAGACCAAGCCGTCGCCATCATTCCGCTCTATTCTGTGTTCTGTACATTAGCTCTCTCTATCCCTGTCTATCTCGAACATTTGGTAATCTCTCTCGCTCAACGAGTATTAATTGCTGCTTTTCCACGCTTTCACCGTCATGCATTTAGTGTTACACTTGCACCTAAACCATAAAAACCATGTATTTTTTTTATACTTTTACCAATGTTCCAAGTGTACCAGATGCGTGTTAGCTCCTTAAACAAGAAAACAGCATATAAGCGAATCGAACGAAATATATATATATATGTGAAAAACTGTCAAAATTAATAAGATGTATTTATTGGAACTGGGTGTTTTTTTATACAAGCTGCATAATTTGTATAAATATTAGGTTGTTTTTGCATTAGGTGTTCAGTTTTTTTATGTATTTTTTTTAATGAGGACTAAAGAAAAGTATCTTTTGCAATTGGTTTGCATATTGTCCACCGATCAATTTACATTGCCTTCAAGAGATTCCACTCCAAGACCGAAACCGCCAGAAAAAGCTCTAAAAAAAAACTCGGACTTAATTTTATTGTAAGTCCGACTAAGTGAATTTGAAATGGGAAGTTATATAAATATAACGCAATATTTCGTCATATTTTGTTGGCCTGTCCTTAAGTTATAAATACTTATATTTGAGTGGAATTATGTATATATGCCCCCAACTGATCAGACACATTTCGACAATCACGTTTTAGGTGGCGCCATCTGCCGATCGGCAGCATAACCTTTCTACCTCTTGTATCTATCTGCATATTTAATCTTAAATCTCTAGTTTCTATCGTTCTGAGATCTCCACGTTTGTACGGAAGGTATGACGATCCTGATAAAAAAATTTACATATACTTTATACGAGTAGCGGGTAAAAATATGCATAAAATGTAAATGATCAATTGATGATTTGGTATTCAAAAGATTTACAATTCACCCAAACTTAAGATGGAATTGTAGGATAAAACTTGCACGATTCGTTTATATTAAAGTGTTTTATTGCAAATAAGCAAAATGCATGAGGGTACGTATAATCGGTAGGTGGTTAGATTTCTAGGACACAGAATTGTAAGTTAAAAACTGCCTGCTTTAGTGGCTGCTGCCGTTGGTGGTACCATTGGCTTTGGGTTTCTGCGGGCCCGCGGCAATGAAAGTGGTCACATCCAGCTTAACGGCCAACGCTTTTAGCTCCTCCTTGCCGGCAGAGTTCTTGCCCAGGATTAGCACGCTGGGGTCCACCTCGAGGACGCGGGCCAGCTTGCCCAGGATCTCGGATTCATTCAATCGGATCACGCGCTTGTTGATAGCCTTGATGGCGGGATCGGATTGTTGGCGGTTCATGCTTACGATCTGGGTGATCAGCGTCTCCTGGCCCACCACGCCCAGAATGGAACTAAGTAGCGGAGAAGAAGGAGTTATAAACGATATGGAAGGGGAAGAAATTTTGTTAAGCCTACCCATCATCCTGATCCACAACGACCAGTTGGTCCACGCGATGCTTTTTCATCAGGCCAATAGCCTCGCCGACTGTGGCATCCGACTTGAGCACCGCCGGAGGAGCAGGGAGCTGCAGCTGATCGATGGTCAGACTCCACCACCAGTGAGCGTGCTCGTTCACCGGCTCCTTGAAGCCACGCGCCTCCATCCAGTTGTCCGAGACGAACTTGGTCATGTAGTTGCGTATGCCATCGGGCAGGATGACCACGCACCGCTGGCCCTGTTTCAGCTTGCGAGCATGCTGGAGGGCAGCGTGCATCGCTCCGCCGCTGGAACCGCCACAAAGCAGACCCTCCTCCGCATTCAGGCGTCTGCTCATGGGGAAACAGTCCGGATCGCCGATCTTCGTCCACACATCCACCACGGAGTCATCGAAGACGGTGGGCGGGAAGTCATAGCCAATGCCCTCCACCTCGTAGAATTGCACATCGCTCTTGTTGAGCTCCTCGGGACGGGCCAGGATCGAGCCATAGGGATCCACGCCCACAATTTGGCAATTTGGAGCCTGCTCCTTGATCTTCCGGCCAATACCACTGATCGTGCCCGCCGTTCCCGCCGACACCACAATCATATCCACTTGGTTGTCCAGCTGCCACAGGATTTCGGCGGCTGTGCCATCATAGTGGGCCAGCGGATTGCCAGCATTTCGATACTGATCCAACACAATCGAGTTGGGCGTTTCCCGCTGCAGTTGCTGGGCCACGTAGATCAATCCCTCTGGCGAATCGTAGGCTGCTTCCGTTGGCGTACGGATGATCTTGGCCCCCAGAGTTCGCAGCGCCGATACCTTCTCGTTGGACATCTTCTCCGGCATCACGATGATGCACTTGTAGCCCTTGACGGCACAAGCCATCGCCAGTCCGATTCCCGTATTCCCCGACGTCGGTTCGATAATTGTGAAGCCTGGCTTCAGGAGACCCTGCTCCTCAGCATCCTGCACCATGCGATAGCCGATGCGGTCCTTCACCGATCCTCCGGGATTAAGGAACTCGCACTTGGCATCTGTAAAACGGGTAGAAGACAATTATAATGTTTTTAAACTACTATCTAATTAAATAATTTAAAAATATCAATGTCATTGTATTTCTTATCGTTATCTTTATAACTTAGATCTTGAGTGTCCTTTGTTACTTTTTTGATTAAGTATTTAAAAATGATTTGGTATTACAGCATTATAAAAAAAGATAAAACTTGTTATTTTATAACTTAAAGTCCCTTTATTTTATATTACAAGCATATACCAAATACTGTTTCAATTATTTGTTAATCAAACAAACTTCTTAGTTAGGATCTATGGATCATTTAAATATTATCATGGAGATTAAATTATTTTTTTTTAAATATCTACTGCTTTAATGGGTTTACTTACACATCTCGCACTTGATTCCCTCGCTGGCGGGAATGTGATTCAATTTAACCAGCGGAGTGCATCCGATCACCTCGAGGATGTTCGGTGTGATCTGCTGGCGGTGGGCGATGCCCCGCTGCGTGTGAGGGGACTTCTCGGTGGTTCCCAGATGCCATTTGCACTTGGACGGCTTTCCGGGATCGATGAAGTCCGCGGGCCTTTCGTACGGCTTCGGTTGTGGCATCTCTACAAGGGATGAATTAAAGCCATGGTCATAAAATCGAATCTAAAGTTCTTCACTTAAGGATACAAACATTAAACTTTAAACAGTTTATGTCTATCATAGCCAAAATACGATATATCGAATATGGGCTTATCTTGTTAGGGAAAGTAATATTGCATAGACAACTGATAACCGGGATTGGTTACTACTTCAAAAATAGAAATCTGCTGACAGAAATTGATAACATTTTTTGATTTTTAAAATGCCAGATGGAGCTGATCGACCCCTGATGACCCCAGACCTTATCAACCCAGGTTCCGGTGGGCCAACGTAGGGGAATGCGAAATAGAGCTGAATCAAAATATATTTCTTGTTGTCTCATTCTGTAAATTGCGAAATTTTGTGAGATTATTATTCAATCAAAATCGGACGATGACAAGACATAAGTGGATAGGAACTCAAGGCGAATCGCTAAAGTCGAGTGCCTCGACTATTTGATACCCTTTACATAGCTAACCAATTTCAAACGGACTAACAGTTCTTTCGCTCTCTTCCGCTCTCTTAAATATATGAACTCCGTGACGTTATAATTAACACTAAAATTCCAAATAACTTGTTCTTGGAGCGACCTAACAACTTGTATATACCATGACCTTACAGTGGGTGTGGTACGCTTTTGAAATTGAAATATTTATTTGAAAATATCTTGAAGTTTATACAGACGGACAGACAAGTTTAGATTGACTCGGCTATTGATTCTGATCAAGAATATATCCTTTATAGGGCCGGAAAAACGTATTGTTCCATACCTTTTAACGAATACAATATAGCCTTTTAGTTTACGAGTAACGGGTATAAAAAGCCATTAAAAAACAGGAAGTACGCCTTATCAAATGTTTTTAATTTCAAAATAAAGAGTCATCTATAATGTATAATGTATAAATACTTAGAGATTGAAATCTAAAGGTTTCCCTACTGATTGTTTCTAGTTGCAAAATAAAAAGTAAGACAATTAAAAATAGACAAACCCCAAATAAAGTATCTTTTTACTATGAATCTATCTTGATGGCTCCCTTTTTAGATGGAAGCCCCTGCCAAGTCGGTAAATAAATTACAGTGGCTGCCGGTTCAAGGTGGGTTGTATTTCGTAGATAAGATTTCCAGGTGGTAGTGATTGATTGTACTCGACACGCCACTCGAATTCTATCACCCACTAAGCAAACTCAAATAAGGGAAAGTATATTCGATTATTATATGGAAAGCTTGGTATCTGAGGGCACGTTTTATGGGTAACTGTTGAATCAAGGATTCAATCTGAATAGGTTGGGTTTCCAAAAGATCAATAGATATTTCTAAATGGCTAATGTTAAAGACTTTAAAAATAATTAAGAATTCATTGATAAATAACATCTGTATTTGTTACTCTAACTTAGTTTTTTTATTTATAAAATTTAATAGCAAACCTTCAATTTGAGAGTCAAATAAAAGATTTTTTTAAAGAACATTTTCAGTTTTTAGAGCTAGTGGCAAAACAAAAGGACATTTTATAGATTTCAAGCTAGCATATTTTGAATGTCGCCTAATGTTCATACACAATTTTTTTTTCCGGAGAGTCTGAAAGAGAGGACTTTTTTATTGCTCTTTCTTGCTATCTCCCCCATGTACACCTACACATGTGCAAGTTTCCATATGTATTTGTATATTTGTTTCACGAGTAACTTCAAAAAAATAAACAAAAACAGCGAACAAATGCGAAATACAACACATAAAAATAGACAAGCACATGTTTTTCTCTTCGCTTTTTTTGTATTTGTATTTGTTGCCGGTTGGAATTTTTTTTTTTTAAGTGCGTAGAGAGAAGTAAACTTGGCAGGAAAATGAACTTTGCCCTGTGTTCAGTTTTAGTTTTAGTGGTAGTTACTTACTAGTGTAGATGGTGTGATTAAGGAGCAACTAACGGAGCGAGAACTGCGAGAAGGGACCGCCACGATGCTGCCAACGAAGGCAATTGAACAAAATCTAACAAAGGTCCAACCAACGCGAGCAACGTGCTGTAACGGTCGACTGCGACGTCGGCAGAGGCCGCGTCAGCGCACAGTGGAATAAAATTAATATGCCACGAAATAAATTTAAATTTCATAATTAATAAAAAATGATCATATTACAAAAGTTTTGTTTTGAGTGTAGTGCCGATAAATAATACTTAGCTCTAATACAAATAGTAAGCAGTCTAACAAAAATGTAAGTTAAATGATCTAAAAATTTAAAGCGAAAAGCTTTTAACTTTTCTTACTTTAATGTTTTAAAACTGTAAAGCAAGAACCAGTTTTTCTAAAACTGTACGAGTACATATATTGTCAAACCGTAATACAAATGCCGCCAAGTAATACTCTCAAAACTGTCAGACAATGAATCTAAAACAGTAAACAAATTCAACAAACTTTTTGTTTGTTAACAATAAATAAAAAGAACTCGGAACTTAACTTTTAATAAACCCAAATTTCATACATTTCAGCTCAAGAACTTGCGTTGACCACATTAAGTTAATTCTATTGGCATCTAAAATGTTTTTTTAACAAGAAAGGATGCAAACTTCGGCAAGCTGATCAATAATATACTTTATAGGGTCGGAAATGTCTCAAATGTCTCATGTTGCAAACTTTTGCGTGAAATTATAATACCCTCTGCAAGGGTATAAAAATAAAAGTGCAAAAAGGCACTCTGAGCTTTGCTGAACTAAAGAATATGCGTTTAATTTACATGCCAATGAAAAAAAAACATATACAAAATTGTTTAAGCGTTCTTAAAGCTTAGAGGAATTATAAGATTTCTTACATGATATAAAACCCTTAAACAAAGGATATTTAAATTTGCCTAATTTGTTTGTTACTTTTTAGAGGTGCTAACAAGATCGTTTACCTTGTAAATAGTTCAGAAAAAAATCTGTCACAAACTGTGATCCAAAAGCACCGCTACCCAGGCAGGTGTATTTTTATATTTAAGAAATTAATTCAAAAATGGTTGAAAAAAAACATGAAAGACTAGATCTAGGTGCCTAGAAGGCGGCCGCGAGGACGACCTGCAGCGCCATGTAGACGGTGGCGCCCAGGGCCACGAAGAAGGCGAGGGCGCGGGATGGCTGGGGCACCACGACCACGGCGTAGACGATCGTGTGGACGATGCGGGCGATTCCCACGGCCCGGAACAGGTTGATGGCCACGAAGGCGGCCGGGTTGGTCAGCACGTAGAGCAGGCCGATGGCAAAGAAGGGCAGGATGTTCTCCAGATCGTTGCGATGGGCACGACGCACTCGCTCCACATTCGGATCGTCGAACTTGACCTTCAGCTTGGGGGACATCAGATCCTCGGGGTTGGCGAAGGTCTGAAAACGAAGATAACGATTGGAAGATTATAATATTTTTTCAGAATTTCTCTAACTACTTGACCAAAAGAATATGGATTTATTTAAATACAGTTTCATAAAATATATAACTTTGTTGTGAATGATTTTTGTACTTTAAGTTCCAGCTAAAAGCATTCCAATATCAAATATTAATAGAAAGTTTTTTATGTTAAATGGTATTTAATAAAATTGTTAAATTCTAAAACATTCTTTAGATTAATGAAGAAAAAGTGTTCTGTAAGTCGTATGATTAAATTTCATTGATAACAAAGCTTCAAAACTAGATTTTAAAGCAATTCAAATAAAAAAAACTTATAATTTTGTAATCCAAATTTTACACTGCTATTATGTTGATATTGCAGACATAATGTCTCTTAAAATCCAATAAACAAGATAACAATCTCCGATAAAACAAATTCTCTCTATGTATTTATTAACTTTTATATTATTTGTAAAAGACAAAATACAGTGATTGTCATTAGTTTACAGTCTCGAGCATTCACTGTAGTTTGAATTAGTTAACTTATTTAGCTTGATTCGTTTAAACTTTCACTGGCGTGAGACTTTGACCCCACTGTGCGACCCCCACTCGTTCTCTTTCTCTTCACCCAGCCTCGTTTTTTTTTTATCAGCTCACTGTTTCCAGTGTTCAGCAGTTTCGGAGATTTTTATATTTATATTTATAGTTATTTATTTTATGATTATATTTATGTACTTTCACCCCCTCTCACCTTCGTCTTGAATCGCTGGACGGCGGTCAAAAGGCTCATGAGAAAAATTTTGATAACCAAAACTCCGACCCAAAAGGTGAAGCTTTTGAAGACGGGATTGGAGAGGCTGAGCAGTTCCACGGGGCTGGCCATTTTCAATGTTTTTCTTTCTTAATTTGTTGACTCTATTAAATAAAATTTAAAGCTTCAGATTCTCCAGCCTGTTCGCACGCCGTTAAAAAATCAAATGAGAGCCGAACGCACTTGTTTTTATTTTATATACCGGCAAGCAAGAGAGAGCTTTTATTTTATTCCGTTGAGTCATTCTGAGACAGCGAATGTGAGATCGAGAGAGCCAGAGAGCCACAGCAGCGGTCAAAAAACATGAATTCAAAAAATAATATTCTCTTAAGTGAATATTTTCATCTTAAAATTGACAATTATGAATGTTTTTTTTTAAGATTTAAACATTTAATTTTACAAGAGATGATTTTATTAATAAAAACAAGCTGAAAAAAATCATAGTTTTAAGGAATAAAAAAAATTGAATATGTAAATCTCTAAATGATCCATGTAATCCCTTTTTTTCTACTAGTTCAAGTGCTAAGCATCAGTTAGTTCAATCTTGTATTGTTTTAAATCGTTAAAAAATAAATGATTGTGGAATTCCCTAATGGAGATTTCACTTTAGAACGAATACATGTAACAGGTGACTTACCCAAGTTGTTTGTGTAGAAACATGAATCTAAAACTTGTTTTATGTATGGAAATAGTATGTGCATAATGTAGGATACAGTCCAAAGGTCTTAAAAATATAACTTACGGCTGTGAAGAAGCGCATCAGACCCGTATAAATGCCCGTGGCGAAGATCTTGAGCACCAATATAGCCGACCATCCCAGATAGCATCGGAACACCTGATTTTCCAGCGAAATAAGCTCGGGATTCAGCATTTTGAGAGCTACAGGTGCACTTCTATACTGAAATCGGTTGTAATCGGTTTGTAAACAGAAGCCTTCGATACCCCAGCGGCTTAAAAGTAGGGTATATAGATTTCATTAAATTCAGCTTGTCCTTTAAATCTCCATTAAAAATATGCTTTCTTATATTTATAAGGATTTTTTCTTTATTCAGAATATTCTAACAAATTAAAACATTAAAACTGATAATAGGAATGGTTATTTCCGATATCTGGTAAATTCTGAAGATTGCAATGTTTCTTTTAAAGGATGCAATGTATTTCAGATATCTTTGTAATTCCCAAGTCACTTTTTGGATAACAAGATCTATGCGTGTTGTATGTATTAAGTGTACAATGTATTAAGTGGGTTAGAGGGTATATTTTTCGATCATCATTCTATAAAACCTTACTATAACTCGTTTTGTTGACGTCGCTGTCAAGTGCCGGCGATTAACATTAAATGGAACTACAAAAGCAAACGAATTGCCGGTAATTACCGTCAAATTGCAAAAACAAAAAGCTGGACAGAGCTCAATAAGATTTCGTTCTAGTTATTTTAAAAAAAATTGAATTTTCAAATTTGAACAATTAAATTGAAATTCTCAACATTATTGACAGAATAAAATGTAGATTAATCGGACAAGTCAAGCGATAAGAACGGCTCTATATATAGATTAGAGGTGCACCTGTATTCGTTGAATCATATCAGAAGGTGCCGGAACTGAACTGATAATACATTATTGAAAATCCCATAGAATCGCTGGGTTTTCAAATGAAATAGTACAACACACTGTCGAAATTATAAGTCTAAAAAAAATAGATTCATTTTTCATTTGGATAAACTAGAAAACTTTTATTACAAACACGTTTAATCTGTCACTTAAATACCTGTGTTTGCAAAGTAGCGCAACTTTTACGTAAACTGGCCATTAAATTTGAATTTCGAAATTAGTAATTCAAAATGATTCTATATAAAGAATGATTAAATTCATTTTAATATCATAAGAACTTAACTCCTTACATGCTAGTAATATCTTACAAAATCTCATAGATTCTCCATAATAGCTTATAAAACTAATAGTCGCACATTAATCATAATTTGAGGAAGTGATTTCCCAAATGTTTTCCAAAACGATCTGTTTTCCATTATCCACTTGGTTGCCATCTGGAAATTAGCGACCTAGCCCGCTGGCCCCAATTCCGCGAAATCGCTCCGATCTTGGGCCTAACCTTAATGCCAGCGGATTTGGGGTAATGGTAATGCAAACACAATGATTCCATAGGGCGGGTACCCGAACCCGAACCCGACCATATATGCACTCATTATGCTCCACTCAATCAAGTTGGAAGGGATGGGGGCTCGAGTGCAGTTTACAGCGGAAAACCCAGACGGTGGTGTCCACTTCACAGACAGACCCGAGAGGCCCGAGTGAACGGATAAGCAGATAAACAGAGATGGGAACAGAAATGAAAAGCCTATTTCCTAAGTGTAATTAATTAATTTCGGTGGCTGTGACTGTGACTGCGCCCGACTGCATCAGCATATTTGCATGGCATCCGACATCCAGCCGCATCCATTCGAATCAGTTTATCCAACGCTCTGTCGTCGGGAGCACGTTCAAAAAAAGCCAAACGGAATAATTCAAAAATTGTCCGACTTACGGAAAATATTATTTCAAACTGGACCACATTTTCGAGGACTGTCATCGGCAGCAGTTTCACAAAATGTCACATGGCGAGCGGAAAGGCCGCCTCAATGTGGTCAAGTTTCTGGAATTGGTAAAAGGAATTTTTTTTTCAAGTGATCCTCTATAAGAAATTGTGATAAAAAAAACTTTGTATTACGATCAAAAATAGCTAAGTGAAGACAATTTATTCACATCAAATCACAATTCTTAAGTTTAACAATGTTTGCGGAATGATTAATCAAACATTCTTCTAAAAAACAACTTGGGAATTATAAGGAAATACTCAAAACGTTACAGATAAAAAAGCATTCATCTGTAAATTTCCACAAAAAAATATTTACCACTTTCGGAACATTGGCTAACCCAAATTAAGAACTATGACAGGTTCTAGAAAAATATTTTTCACGGATTAAGAATTAAAATTCCTTTTACTTCACTTTTTAGGGGTTTGCAGTAGCGTGTCTTGTGCTTCATTTCTACAGCTTTAATGATCGGGATATAATGACATCGTTTTTGGCCACTGGCACCTTTACGGGCTATATAATCGTGGTCATCGGGGTCTTTGCAGGTGAGTTTTGAAGTACCTAGACGTTAGGAACTTTAATATAAAGCCAGAAATGCTATCTTCCTCTATAAAGTTCTTAAAAATACCTTTTTAAATTTAAATCTAATTTAAATATACAAATTTACAGGTGTTCTGATGCGGGCCCCCATTCACAAGCGCATCGATATATTCTTCAGTGTACTGGGCTGCACTTTGTTCGTGGCCAGCGGTGTGTTTATCATCGAAGCCTGGGAGTTCTCCTTCCGGACCCGAACTCGGGATCTCGCACTTATCAAGGCCTCACTGTCGATCGTCAATGGGGTGCTGTTCGGATTCGATGCCGTCTTCACATTTCGCGACAAGTGATTCATTTTCAGCTGGAAACCACTTCGTCTAATCCTATGGAGCTTCATTTTTTGCATTTAATAGTTGTAAGGATACATATTTTTCTTCCTGCTTCAAATTCCACCAATGACACAACAAAACAAACTGTTAACGTTAATCTTTATATTTAAGTATTCTTTTTTTTTGTCTCAATAAAAAGTAATTCGCCATCACTCAATTAGTCATACAAGAAAGCTAGAGTCGTCATTCTCGACCATCTAATGATCCCGGTACTCAGATTTTGTTCGATTTAAAACATTTGCAATAAGACTATCTAAAATAATTTCAATAAGTACAGTAAAAAAATGATTATAACTCTTTGGGAATTTTAGATCTCTTGAACAAAAAGATTAATTTTGGGTAAAGTAGTTGAGGATTATTTTCCGGTAAAATTGTAAGCAGAACTGTAAGCTGCCCACATACCAAATTTGATAGCACTAGCTAAATTAGATCCCGAGATGCAGGTGTTCACAGAATATACAATTCGATGGGTGCCCGTTAATCGAGAGTACCGGGCGCAATGCGACATAAATAAAGGTGAGCTGGTGGCCCATTTTGTTTACATCGTAATAGTAGTTAGCATTTGATTTCATTTTTTTATTGTTTGTTTTTTTTTTTTGCTTTTTTTTCATTTGTTGATAGACGTGAGAACTGAACTTGTTGACCGCTGTTGTGTTGTTATTTTTGTTGTTGAGTTTATTGAGTTCCACTGCTAGCCATTGTCGTCTTTACGCGCTGGTCATCTTTGGATGACGGGTGTGTGTTGTTGTTGAGTGGTGCAGATATATATGGGATATATGTCCAGCAGAGTGGAGGGCTCCTAGGCCGAGTTGTGGATGTTAAGACGGAAGATGTCGTGGGCCACGAAGAAGGTGCCCGCGTTGGCCTTCAGCATAAACACCTGCGAGAAGGCGTGCGGGGGATCGTCATCGCACTGCAAAATAATTAAATCAAACATTTATTAGTCAAATACACATTTCAATAATATTTGTTTTCATTCATTAACAAGCGTGCGAAGAACCAATTTCGAGTTTTGCAGTTGGAAATAGAAAATGGAATATGGAAAAAGCACACAATTTCAAGACGGAGTCGGAGGAAAGGTATTGTAAAACTGTTAGCCGATTGTTCGTGTGCAGGTGCGTGTTTACTGTACAGTGGTCGCTTGCAAATTGGATGACCAAAACTAAACTCCCGAGAAACAGGTGTATAGAATCAACGATTACATTAAATAAACAATTCACTGTACAATTTTATAGCAGTCTTTTTGAAATAAAAAATAGTTTTGTGTAATTTTCTTTAAATAATAAATGTAATTTGTGTTTTTTTTTTTGTAGCTTTTGGTGTTGAAGAATACTCAAAGATATAATTTGAAAAATGCTAATATAAAACGTTTCTTAAACATTTTCCAATGAATAACATCTAAACACTTATTAAACCACAAATATCTCAAGAAAATGATTGAAAACCTGAAAATTGTAGAGCGAAACAGATGCAACTAGTAGTTTAGCATTTCAGTTAGCAACACAATTATAATTTATTAAGAAAATTAGTTTGCGTTTTAGCTTTTAAATGTTAATATTCAAATGTTCCAATTTCCCAGCGACCTTCTGTTAAGAAGAATACAATCCAACACAAAACTAACGAAAACCATGCACGAAATTAAAGGCGCAATATTTTGTTTCGGTTAATTGTCGTTGGAAAACTCACGTACTGTGAGGACAATTAGAAGAAGTTGGACGACGACGAGACGCCAAGGATATATTGGTTTTTGGTCTTATGGGCGGAGTGGGCGGGGCTGGGCGGCAGAAGGTCGACTAACAGCATAACTATCTCATCGCTTAGATATAGTTTTCATTCGTTTTTGAACTGGGTCTTGTCTCCACGCTGCTGGCTGATCAATTGGCTGCTTTTCTCGATCTCGATTTTGATATATATGGCCGGGCGCTGGAGTCTGTTGACTGGGCGTGGCAGATCGGGGGTGGTGCTACACATCGTGCAACGATAGCCGAAATATATCGTGCTGCACAAAGTAACTCCCACCAACCGGCTTCAGTACGAAGGTCTGAATGTAGGCATGCGGCTGATCCTCATCGGTCTTCATCGGATTCGATTTGTTTTTTGTTTTATAATAACCAGAGTTGAGATATACAATATACAGGTGGTACATATGGTATATTCAAAGCAGCAGCAGCGGCGGTCGATTAATAGCACTGCCCAATGTGGAATTTTAAGGAATACGAACAATGAGTTTCTACCTTAAATGATGATTTTTTGTTCTGCTCTAAACAAATTCTAGTTATCAAAATTTATATTGATAAATCAGATATTCCAAATATATTTGCTTTGACCTACAGCACTTTAATTGATAAATTAAGTTTTCTGTGTTATTGGGTAAGGTGATATTTTATAAATGCTTTATTGGCACCTTTTTTCTAGCTAAAAATATGTTTTCATTTATAACTATAAAGGAGTTTTACCTTAATTATTGTTGGGACCTTTTCTTTCATTTCTGAGTATTTGTATTTGTTGACAATATTAATATCCCTGTGTTTCGGTTTACATTCTAGGTAAATTTTATTTTTATAATTTTAAAGTGATATGTATAAACCATAAAATGTGGCGGACTAAAGCAAGTTTATAAAATACAGATAAACAAATACAGAAAATAAATATGACCTGCAGTGCGAATAAAAATGTATAATTTAATTAATAAGCAAGCATTTAAATGGAGAATCATACGTATTAAAAGAAAAAACAAGTGATTTGATTTGATAGACAGTCCTATTATCCTAGCCGCCGCTGTACAACAGGCAGTCATTCAATTTCCTAGTCGACAGCAAGTTGTTGGAACAATTTTTGAATGCTTTGGGGTATCTTGTTCGCTTTTCTTTTGGGGATCGATCTGCTTACCTGTAGTCTTCCGAGGACATTGATCAGCACTCCGCCGTCGAATGTGGGCTGCGAGTCTACTGTGGTTATCACACGGGTAATCTTCTGAAAACTCAGGCTCTGCAAGAATTCAATTGATTAAATTATGCTCGAGGAACCGTATATACTCGAACTAACCTGAACTTTCTCGAGGATCTTGGGCGCACCCTGTATTTGGTGACCTTCAAAAGTCATGAAGGAATCGGTAGCCTGGAATGAAAAATTTCTAACTCATTACTTGTAGGTAGTTATATGTTTATAGATTTATATTTACGAATTGGTCAGGTATTGTTCATATAAAGGATTTTGAAAAATACTTTGAAATAGCCAGAAATTTGGTTATTTTTTAGTTTTTATTTTCTAGCTGCTATTGAGTTTGTTAGATAGTACTATTTTCTTGCTGCTATTGTGTTTGTTCAAATATATATTTTGAACAATAATTATGTATGGTGCTTTTAAATACTGAACTTTCGACTTTTTTTTACTATTTTTTTCGCCTAATTATTTTTACAATTTCTGGGTGCTATTGCGTTGACCTCGGCTGTATGTTGGCCATATATTTTGTATGTGTGTATTTATTTATGCGAGCATGGGCGTAATGTGTCACTCGAAACTTCGAGAATCCAACGCAGCCTCGCCATACCACCTTAAACATCCTATTCTCCCGATATCCCGCCTATATTTCTATATCTTCTTGGCCCATTTTTCGCGCTCTTTTTGGTTTTGCGCCCATTTTCCGAAAAGGAGGCGGACTTTTTCAAGGGCGCGACGCGCGTCACCGCATGTGCGAGCGGGACAGCAACAGATGGACGAAGGAGGAGACGCGGATAAAGGAGAGCAGCAAAAGGTAGAAAGTGGCCAAAAGAAAGGATACAAAGGAAACAGAATCAGCAGAAGACAACAACACTTACGCTGTAGAAATTAACCACGTTCGCCCGATTCGCCGGGTCATCGAATATCGCATAGTACTGCTGCACAAATCCCTTGCCAATTTCCTCGTACTGCGGATTCAGCGACATTTCTCTTTCCGGATTGGCGGCCAAGTATTATAAGGGAATCCGATCGCTGCGACACGATTTATTTAAAATAATACCCAAAAAAAAGACAACCGAATTCGACAGCGAGTGCGAAGCAATGTGACCGCACCTATAACGATTGAAAATACCACACAGTCCCAAAGTAAATACCAACTGTGATGGGTGTGTGCGCTATGTGAGAATGGTTGAGCAGATGATTACAGTAAAAGCGCGGGAAATTCAAAACATACGAGTGCATATGATGACAATTTATATTTATAAATTGATGTTAAGCACTGTCAGAAAATAAAAAATTGACATTCCATAAGCTAGCAGACGTACACAGAAAAATTATATTTTCCTTAAAAAATTGATATCTGAACTTAAAGCCAATTATCTTGCTAAATCTATGTTATTTGTAAGATTGTCATACCATCACACAAAAACATCAGATTTACACCATTTAACCCAAACAATAAAATAAAAACGTAATTTTTAAGCCGGACAATTTCCGTTTAAAATAAAAAGGATCGGGAATTAAAACTCATGTGCGACGTTTATCTTTATCTTATCAAATTGCTGACACATATCGTTTTTAATTTCGTTCCAACTTTTTCGTTCCCAGGGAAATGCTTCTTTTGCACAATTTCTACACGACCATTGTTTATAGATGGCAAAGAATAAATAAAAGGGGGTTCCTGAATCTGCCTGCCACGAATTCCCATGAAGGGGATATTGTATAAATCAATTACTACACTGCAAAGATCAAAATAAATATGCAACAAATTGCTGAATTTTAACAACTTTTAATTTGGACTATTATTCGTTTTTATAACACTTGAGCCTATTCAACTTGTCATTTTTAAATATTAAACTTTATAAATAATAATAAATTGTAAACTGTGAATAAATAACTCGTTTTTAAAAATGTTTGTATTTTTTAATTAAAAAATGGTTTAAAGTGAATGAATACAAAAATGTTCCCAGTTTTTAATGTTAATTGAACAATTTTTATAACAATCGTTAAAATTAGATATATTTTTCAATAACAGTATTGAATTCATGGCTTTTAAAATATTTAAAACTATAACAAATCAAAAATAACGATATCGAAAAGAGTGACCGTAACAGTGACCGTTGGGACGCAACAGGTGGCGCTCGGCTCTGGTCACACTGGCGGCAGCAAAGGAAAATTGTTAAGTTGATAAAAAGGTTGATTTATCACTTGGGGCGTTGCATTCGGCGCATTTCGATCCGCAGCGATGTTCACCGCCTTCACGGACTTGGCCCGCCTCTGCAGGATCTGCCTGCGCCAGCTGCGCGACCGGGAATCGCAGTGTCCCGATCCCCGCCTGATCGCGATCCTCCAGAAGTTCCTCGACATCGACCTTCTGCAGCAGCCGCAGGGCTTCCCCACGCAGATCTGCAACCTGTGCCACCACGCGGTCTCCTACTTCGAGGAGCTGGGCCAGGTGGCCAGGGAATCCAGCCGGACACTCAATGAGTGGCAGCCCAAGGACATTCCCGTCGACAGGGTGGATATACGGTGGCCTTTTGGGCTGGTTAAACCAGGATTAATACTTTCTTAGGGCTTCCGCAGGTGAAGGAGGAGCCGCTGGAGGAATATCTCAGTGAGGATCTGCAGGAAAACCAACAGGAAGTGGAGGAGGAGGAGCAGGAAAGCCTGGAGGATGGCCTACCCGAGGAGTTGCCGGAAAAGCAGGATGATCGGGAGGAGCAGGAGGATCCGGAATACCAGGAGGACTACCAGGACAGCCAGGGGCAGGTGGATCAGCCCAGCGGGAACAAAAGACGCGCCGGCCTTGCCTGCGATCAGTGCGGCAAGCAGGTGTACAAGCTGCCCTACCTCGAGGCCCACATCCGCAGCGTCCACCAGGGCTACTCGAAGCCCTTCCTGTGCCGCAGCTGCGACAAGTGCTTCACCCGCTACGAGCAGCTGCGCTCCCACATGCGCAACGCCCATCCCCAGCTGGAGCAACTGCAGCAGGAGCTGCGCGAACTGATCTGTGAGCTGTGCAACCGGCAGTATAGCACGAAAAATGCCCTGGGCGAGCATCTCAAGCGGCATGCGCAGCACAAGGAGCACGTGTGCGAACACTGTGGCGTGGCCAAGGTGACGAGGACGGAGCTGTTGACCCACCTGCGCACCCACAATCCCACCTGGGAGCGCTTCAAGTGCGAGCAGTGTCCGCAGCTCTTCCGTCACAAGAGCGCCATCAGTCGGCATGTGCGCGTGGTGCACGAGGGTCAGCGGCGGTTCCAGTGCGGCCATTGCGAGAAGAAGTTCGGCACCCACGCCTCGCAGGTGCGGCACGAGCGGCTGCACGCGGAATCTTCGGGAGGAGGAGATGCTGCCGGGGAGTGGCCATTCGCCTGCATGCACTGCCAGAAGCCATGCGTTTCGCGGCAGAATCTGGAGGTGCACCTGAGAAGGCACAGCGGGAGGAAGACTCACAGGAAGAGGCCAAAGGACCAGGATCAGGATGAGGAGGATCAGGATCTGGAGGCTGAGCAGGAGCAGCAGGAGCACATGCGCAAGAAGAGGAAGCTTAGGAAGAGGCGTACGGATCACTTGCTGGCTAACCAAACAAATGAGCAGCAACAGGAGAGACAACAAGATCAAGAGTTCCAGGCGGAGGAGCAGGAACTGAGCCAGGATCTGCAGGAGGAATGGCAGCACAAACAAGAGCAGGAGGATCCCGAATGGGAGCACAAATTAGAGCAGGACACAGAGCCAGAAAATGATCTAAAAGTGGAGCAGTTAGACGACCACATCCATGACTATACCTCATGATAATCCACACCCATTCATCATATCAATCCCCAAAATAATCATTAAGATCATGCCTGAATATTCCACGATGTACCACACTTTAGCAAAATTTGTTAAATCATTTTTTTACTAAACATTTTTTGACGCGCGTTTGCTATTACAATGTATTAAATAGTTTTTATATAGCCTGTTTACATAAATATTCGAGAATTATTTTGGCTGGTTTTATTTAAAGAGTACAAAGTCAAAAGCAAACAGGTTTAAATTATATTTGAGATTAATAATAGTGTTCAAGATAATGGTTTTAAAAAACTGTTTCTTATTTTAAAAAATATCAGACTATCGATATTTCCAAAAGCTCCACACAATTGGTATTTTTTGGCGCACTGTCTACGGTCACACTTATGTCTTATCGAAAGCTAAACATCGATATCACCGAGGTTATGAAACTTATCGATATTTCTCCATCTTTAACTACATAAACAAGGCCGAAAAAAAGTAGTTGATCATTTGTCTTCAAAATTCAGACGCAGCTAATAGTCCATAAGAAAATAACAAATTTCAAAATGTCAGCGATTCCGGGACGTGCACTCCACTACGTGTTTAAGATTGGAGATCGGGCGAAAAACGCCTTTTTCTTTCGCCAAATCTTGGGAATGACGGTAAGATGTGAGGAAAAGTGGGGGATATCTCCCAAAATCGGTAGACTCTCTTATCGCGCTTGTTGTGTCTGGCTCCGGTTTTATCTGAACAACGTGTCAACGACGCACAGCCGCTAATTAAAAAGCCCAGATGCCTGATAACTTCATATAATGACGATGTTAAGAAATTAGTTTGTTTTGTTTTTGTTTCTTATTGCTTTCTCGCTCTGCCCCACGTGAACAGGTGCTGCGGCATGAGGAGTTCAAGGAGGGATGCGATGCCGCCTGCAACGGGTGAGTTCAAGGGAGATGACTATATATAAAGTCGTGTGGCAGGACTAAAAAGTAATCGTTAACCCTTGGCAGGCCCTACGACAACCGGTGGAGCAAAACGATGGTCGGTTATGGACCCGAAAGTTCCTATTTTGTCATCGAACTCACATATAACTATGGAGTGAGCAGCTACGAAATGGGTGAGAAATATAAAAGTTGAGGTTAACCCTTGGATGAAACAAATAAAAAGAAACCTTAACCCTTACTACCATAATTCAAGACTAAAACATAAACTAGAAATGAGATCTTTATAAAATCTTTTCTTTTTCATCGAAAATTATCAACATTTAAAACATATTTGTGTTATTAAAAATTATAGTTCAATTAAAAGATATTTATAAATGGGAAAATAGGTCAAATAGGTCATATAAATAACAGTGTAGTTCTTTCATTTAAAATGTGTATTTAATTTGATCATTATTAGGTGCATAAAATTAAAACATAAAAATGAGTTTGATAAAGGTTTCTTTTTTTAATTATTGAATTAATTGCTTTGATTATTTAATTCTCTAGATTTTAACAAAGTTGTTTTTGATTATTTTAAATCGTATCGAGTAAGCACTTGTATAATTCACGTACAAATGATTGGATCTACCTTCGACAACTTTATAATTAAGTGCTCCACTGAAAATACCTATTTGATAAGTGACTGGGCATATTTTCGTGCAAATAATAGGTTAATAATCTTTTGTTTTATGACAAAGCAAATAGTTATCTTTAGAGAGGCTGAAATCTATCAGACAGTCGATTAATCAGTGAAGCTATTTAAAAACCTACTTAAACATTTCTGTTAATCATTAACTGATAATGGCGATGAGCTGTATGTTCATTTCTTTTGTTTGATATGTATAAATGTAAAATAAGAAAGGAAGCAAACTTTGGCAAACGACTTTATTTCCATTTAAATGCGTATATGTTTATAAAAACAATGAAGCTCTTTCTTATCTATATGATATATTCGTCCAATTTAATACAAAATAAAAAAGTAATTTTGAAACTAGTTTAACAAAACTTGAAGCTAAGGTATTTAATATAAAAAGCAATATGATAATAAAAATAATAATCCTTTTTAAAGGAACATAAGAAATTTGAAATCCCCTCCTAATCCTCATATTTTCTATTTCATTTAGGAAACGACTTTGCCGGCGTGACCATACATTCCAAGGACATCCTTTCCCGGGCCGCCGAGCACTCGTATCCTGTGACGCAGGTGGCTGGAAGAGAAGGCAGTCTGCTCACCTCGCCCGATGGCTATAAGTTCTATGTGATCGATCAGCCGTCCGCTGGCTCCGATCCCGTCCAGTCCGTGGAGCTGAATGTGAGCAACTTAAAGAACTCCAGAAAGTACTGGCACAACCTGCTCCAGATGCGGGTGCTCGAGGAGAGCGAAGGAAGCCTGCGTTTGAGTTACGGCGGTGAGCAGGCCTCGCTGCAGATCACCCAGATCGCAGAGCCGCTGAACCGAGCCAAGGCTTATGGACGGATTGCCTTTGCCATTCCGGCGGCCAAGCAGCCGCCGCTTCAGGAGGCGGTTAAAGCCGCCGGCGGGACAATCCTAACGCCCCTGATCACCCTGGATACGCCCGGCAAGGCCACCGTTTCGGTCGTCATCCTCGGCGATCCCGATGGCCACGAGATCTGCTTCGTCGACGAGGAGGGATTCGGACCGCTGTCGCAGGTGGAGCCAGATGGCTCTCAGCGGCTGGACAAGTACATCGAGAAGGATCCCTTCCAGCAAAAGTGATCATCCCAGGAATCCTGAGCACTGATATTTGTACACATCACTTTGTATTTGGAATTTTTTTATTGCTGTTAAAGTTATTGGTTGGGTTTACGGGAGATAAATTATACATTTAAAATGTAATATATAATATTATACACCTGGATTCTATCCTTTTTGACTTTTTGGTAAGCTAAAATCATTTTAGCTTAATATGGGGATAAGAAAAGATTCCCTAATTGTTTTAACTGCCGATAAACTTTATAATTGATTCTTAACTGTTCCTTGTTATATGAAATATTTTTGAACCGTCTCATAGTTTGTCAAAGGATGTAATTTGTATTAGTTAATTTTTTTTAACGAATCTACATTTAATCGAATACTTATTTGGTTTTCACTTTGTAGAATAATTATTGACGTTTAGGAAATATGTTTGGACAATTAATGTTTATTAGTTTAATTTTTTAAACTTTTTTGATTTTAAGTTTTTTTTGTAGACTCATGACTTTTCGTTCATTTTCATTTCAGTTTTAGGAGAGACAAATTCGTTTCGTTTCCACTTTTTGTACCATTTATTTTAAGGGTTCTTCCTGTAGTTAGTTTTTTTTTTACTTATTTTTTACTTGACCGACGAGGAGATTTGGAAGCAGGATGAAGGACAACAATCTATCGGCACCGGCGGGCGTTTTGGTGGCGAATCTGAAGCCGTGGGAGACCATCGACTGGCCGGCGGAGCAGCAGCATTGGATCCACCGCAGCTGGGGTCAGTACTTCGCCAGGATGCGGAAGAACATCTTCGCCCAGCGGTATTTCGACAAGTGCATCAACGAGCACGAGGGCGTGGACCACAAGGCCTACTACCTGCGCAGCAAGTTCCAGAGATCGGTGGCCCTCACGCAGGGCGCCTTGGAGGACAGTCTGAAGGCCTCGGAGGCGCGTGAGGTGTGGAATGCCAACATATCCATGGAACTGGCCGATGCCATGTACGATCTGAATCGTTTCGAGGACAACAAGGGTCTGCTGCACGACAACGTGCGTCGGCATGCGGGCACCGCGATGAAAGCCTTCGAGAATCGCCTCCTGGTCGTCGATGAGAATCTCAAGGATTGCACGGGCTACAGCCTGGCGAACTTCTTCATGGAGCACTCGTCCCAGTTGCCGGGCTTCTATGAGCACCAGCAGGAGGAGCTGCGGAAGGCGGACAAGCGGCCGTTGTGGAAGATCCTCAAGGAGCGGAGGGAGTGCGATGTCCAGAGCATCATGGATCGCAAGGAGGTGATGCTCTCTCCGCTGGAGAGTGAACGCAGGCGTCGCAAGAACAAGATCTACTACCAAAACTACCTGGGTCGCAACTGGACCGATTTCATCTTTCTGAAGACGCTTCGCCGAAACCAAAGTTGTCTGCTGGATCATAATTTTGGCTCTTCACCAGCCCGAACCGAGTATCTGGAGAGTTCGTTTCAGCGGCTGACGACCTTCACGAAAATGCTTCAGGCCAGAAGTCCCATGTACAACGAGTACTTCCAGCGCAATCCCCGCATGGAGGCTCGCATAAGGGAGTCGAATCTGTTCAGGATCCAATACCAGACCAGACGCAATATGCTCAGCATCCTGCGAACCATTCAGGTCCTCAGGAAAAATAATGACATCAAGGTGAGTTACGGAAATAAATATTGGAATCGATGTTTTATAGATCTAAAGTAGATGGAAAAACTGATACAATCAACCTTATTTACCTTTTACCTGTTCCAAAAAAATCCATTTTTAGTATTGATTAGTTAACTGAATCGTTAGATTTCGAAATTGGGAGCCGAAGCAGGTTGGGTGATTAAATATTAACTGTCTACTTTTTAATCGATTAGCGCCTTCGTAAATTCGTGGAGGATGTGATGGGCAACTATGTGGTCATCAAGACGAACCGCCTGATGCCCTGGAAGGTGGAGTTCATGAACGAGGTGTACAACAACCTAGCCATGAGCCTGTGCGAGGGATACCGCCTGCCGTCCACGAGGGTGACGCCCTACGACAAGAGCGCCATGTGCCACCTGCTCAACATTCCCACAGCCAAGCCTCTGGAGCACACGGAGTTCATCTTCGGGGACCGGTCCACCTACTCCTATGCGGGTCCCGACAAACAGAGCACCGACCGATTGGCAGATCAGTGAGTTTAATTAATTAATTTATAATAATAAAATTTTAAGAGGTCCTTGATCCTGCATCCTGGTGTACAATCCAAGTCAGATGGTATTACCATTGATCATCTGGAACCCCTCAAGAAACACACACTCACACTTTCAGACATCCGAGTAAACTGATTTATGGGCGGCCAACAACCACTAGGTCGTAATTTTTTGGCCAGAACCAGTTGGGAATTATAAACACCGAGGGCGCGTAAAAATGACCAAGAGACGATGACGAGGCTAAAGCTGGCCACGTCATCGTCTTTGTTACACTACATTAACTTACATTACATTACATTAACATTACATTAACATTACGTTAACATTACATTAACATTACATTAACATTACATTAACATTACATTAACATTACATTAACATTACATTAACAGTACATTAACATTACATTAACACTACATTACATTAAAATTACATTACTATAACATTAACATTACATTAACATGACATTAACATTACATTAACACTACATTAACATTACATTAACATTTGACCAATTTAACTTTCCAGTCATTTTCGTCCCCATTAAAATTAAATAATTAAATTTTTTAGAATTTTTCGACGTTTTTTAACTTTCTCAAGATGAAGGAAAATCCCAATAACGCACATGTTATTAAGATTTTCAGTATTTTTTATTAAATATAAAAAATGTAAGAAGATTTTATTAAATTTGTGATAAATTTACCTTTGCCCCCAGAAATTTCATCGAGTATCTGGAGAAACGTCTATTTTTCGCCCGCCTCCCGATTGAAAGGAGCTACTTGCTCCACGAACTGGCGGATCGGCACATGCAGAAGAACCATTTCATCCAGAGTCTGTCCTACGCCCAGAAGGCCATAGACGAGGCCAAGATATGCAATAGTCGGATTTGGGAGTTTTTGAGTACCATGCTGATGGCCAAGTCGCATGCAGTGCTCCACAAATACGAACGGCAAACGGAGGTCCTCAATTCCGCCTACGATCTGGCCACCGAACTGAAATCGCCCCAACTGTGCACCTTCATCGAACTGTGCCGCATGCTGAACAAGGACTACATAACGCTCCGCAAGATGTCCCAGTTGGTGACCAGCAAGCGACTGCGCACCAAGATCTCCAATAGGTCCAGTTTCTTCACCTCACCCAACTATTCGCCCAACTTATTGGAAAGCAGGGAAAGTAAAAAGGAGGAGGTTGATCTTTTGACTATCTGATTCGAGGGATTGGATGTCGGGGCAATGATTCATTTGCACTGCCCTTTATTCGATCTTTCGGCTTCGGTTAATCAAAATATCAGTCTCAGACACAGAATCTTAGTAAATGCCACAAAATCCTATAAAACAATGTTAGTGCAAGCTAAAAAAATTGTAGAAAACTGAACAAAATTATAAAAATATACCAAGAATTTTCTGTAATGTAAAAATATAACATTTTATAATGCAAAAAATCATCAAAATATGTTTAACATGCAAAATTGTAAAAATATATATAGAATTAAATGTTTAGTCTACACAGAATACAAAATTTGTATAAATATATGATTTAAAAATATAATATTTATATGAACATTTTAATTCAGGAAATATATAAAATAAATAATATATTTAAAAGTCAATAAAAATGTTTAGCTTAATTTTCTTGCTAGACTTTATTTACATGCTGCAATTAGCAATTACTGAGAAAAATCTAATGTTTATCCAACTAATGTTCAATTTAATAAAGACCTTTGAGAAGTTTAAAAGTTTAAAATCAAACAACTGAACGCTTTGGCATAAAAATTAAAATGTCACTGGCCCACATTTGAATATATAAATACGCGGCATAAATAAAATAAACAAAGTGCAGCCTTTGTAAAACCTATTAAATGAGCTAACAAAATCAATGGCAATGACACATTAAAGTCAAAATAAAATCATTTAAAAGGCATAACAATTAAAAATCCCAATATCGCATTTCAACGAGATTATAACAATAACGAAATTCTTTTTTGCTGTAATTATTTTCAGTCAACCGAAATACAATCTAAACAAAATTCCGGACGGGGAACAAACAAAAAAAAAAAATTGGTTTTCACACTCTTAAATTATTTATGTTCGATGGGGCGGGAATACGATTGCACTTGACTCCAATTTGGCCAATAACCCAAACCCCGTATGCCTGACCTCGCCCAACTAGAAACTACGATTTGCATATTTTGTTGTTACTATCGTTGTTATTTTTGCCATTTTTCCTCGTTGTTGTCAGCATTGAATTGTCGCATGTTGGCCAGGGTTGGGAACTGCAAACTGGAACTGGGCCTGAAAGAGAAATTACATTTTATTTTGTCGCATGTCGCGGAGCCCCAACAACAACAGCAAAAAGCGGAGTAAAATCGGTGATACGAGGCTCGGAAATACTGGATGCTCTCCATATTTAAATTACTTTGCTTTTGGTATTAAAAAAAAATTTATAATAAAAATATAAGGAATTATTTAAAATGTATAAAAACAGAAACCACACAGTTAGGAAGAATAAAATATAAAAAAACTAGGGAAATAAATGGTTAGTTTATTAATTTTTATCATGTCCTTAAATGTTTCCATTTTTGGATTTCAGAATTTCCAACTGTCTGGACTCATTATTTTTTAAAGAATTTCAGGTTGTTTATCAAATTATTAGCTAATAGACCTAAAAAGTCAAATAAAAACGAGAATTCTTGAGTAGAAAGTAGCTCAAATAAATAAAATTAAAATAGTAAAATATTTTTTTTATTTTTATTTCGTAATTTGATCACATTTAATCATGGTTTCTCCTTCTTTTATTTCCCGTATTGTATTTTCGGTTTTTCATAATGGCTTAAAATATTTAAGGGTTCATTAGAGATACCATTTGATGGATTATAATGGACATACCTTCTCACAGGGTATGGAAACATTCAAAATATGCAAAAGAGCGAATGCGTCAATAAATGCAACGACAACAAATATTTTATTGTGTCAATGCTGGCCAAAAGGGCGTAGAGAGGAGGGGGGGTTGAGGGTATGGGGGTTTTTTAGCCAGGTCCCAAGTGGCCAAAACAAATGCAGCAAGTTCGAGTTTGGCCTGGTGGCACATGGCACACATAGCAGCTCATTATGCCAGTTGCCATTAAAAGTGAAAGAGAAACCTGCCCAAGGAGACCCCCCCTCGATCACTGAGAGAAATTGTCAGAGGCGTCCAGCACCCCCCGCCCCCCATTCCCCGCTCACCTTGCACTTCAATCAGCTGCCATCGCCAAGACGCGAAGGCAATCAACAAGCTCGAAACTCGAAGCTTGCGGCTCCCTTTTCCTTTGTATTTACTTTTTACTTTTGACTTTTTCCTTTTGGCTTTTTTTTTTGCCTGTGGAGGTTTTTCGACAAGGAAACCTTATTGGCCAAATTGGGGTCAGCGCAAGAAGGTCGCGATAACAGCGCAAATAATTGGTAATGGCAGCGCCACCAGAAACCACCCAAATTGCATCGAACGTTAAGGTTTCTGAGTCAGATTTCGGGTTTGTCTGCAAGTCATTCGGAATCGAACTGATGGAATGAGTATTTATATTCTTTCTGGGTATTTTTGTCAACTTTGTAATGTGTGTGGAAAATAGCCTTGGATTGATTGCCTTTTGTCTTTATCTATTTGCATTGTACTTGTGGTTATTTATTTATACCTATTTCTTTGTGAATGCCACCAGCGTTTGTTTAATTGTTTTTAATATGATGGTTGCTTTGATTGGAGTTTAATTAGTTTAATTTTCTTATTTGTTTCCCTTTTCTACATTTAAATTTCATTACTTTAATGGATATTGGTAAATTTGTATTAATTTTTTTTTTATGTAAATTAATATGAGAGCATTGCTGTTAGTATTTCTTAATTCAAATATTCTTAAACTCTGCGTTTTATTTGTAAAACATTGTTATATTGTTGGTGTATTTTATTTGTTATTTAGATCTCTTATTGGATAATTTATTGGTGAAATAGTTGCGGTTTTTAATTATTGCACTTAGTATTCCTTTAGTTAATATTAATGTTTTTAAATTCAATTTTTAAATTTATTTTTCTATTTATTTTAATTTGATTGATATTTCTGTTGTTAGTGTAATTGTGTTGGTGAAATTGTTGTGCATGCTAATTAGTTTAAGCTACTGTTTGGGCTTCCAGCATAAATTAGTGGCCAACTTTTAAATTGAATTAATTGGTTCTGGAAACTATACCGCCATGTGGATATGTTAAATTAGAACACTCTCGCTTGAACGCAAACAGGTGCACCAATTTAAGGCTACCGCAATTTTCGTGGCAAGCACTTGATAATAATTTCACCTCACACTTTTCCTGAACTTTTCCTTTCGACTTTTTGAACTTTTCTCCCTCTGCACGGTGGAACTTTTCAGATGTAGTTATCCTAGTTGTTGTTGTCGTTGTGCTTGTTGTTGTTGTGGTTGTTGGTGTGATTGTTGTTTTGTGGTGTTGTTGTTGATGGTGTTACTACTGCCATTCGCAACTAATTTACGACTGCCCGTCGCGCTGGGAAGACTCTCCAAAGACTGCGGCAATTGTTGGGCAATCCCTGCAGCAACCCGCTGACCCGCTGACCCCTGACCCCTGACCAACACCCCCCCATCCCCCTCCTTAGCTCGCCTACTGCCACTCTTAACACCCTGCACCGCAAAGTTAAATGAATGTGGTGGCCAGCGAAATATGCTACAAGTAAACCATGAAAATAAATGCCCAAAAATGCAACTAGAAATTATAGTATACACCACACCCAGCAGCGAATGGCGAGTAGGCGTAGCTCGCATTAAGTGTCCCCAAAAGAGCAAAAGAAAAAAATACAAAATAAAATAAATTAAACGACGATGAAATGTCGGCCGATGACCTCAAAGTGTACACAATATCGATGTTGGGGGAAAATCGAGCCACCAAGGTGCCATTAGGGCCAATTTCAGGATTGGCAAAACTTGAGCCGCACCGTTCATGTCGATGATGCAGCAAAACTAATAAAATTAAATTATTATGTAAAATGCAAATAAAATAATATGCAAATCGAATACGAGCCACCCCAACAGGCGAACAGGGAGCGATGGAGCCATGAGTAATCACAGACGCAAAGCCAAAAACAAGGCAAATAAACACATAAATAAATCAAAAATGGACTACGACAAATCTCGGTTGGCCCAAAAACAGACGGAGCAGCGAGAGCATTAAAATATGGCCAATAATAACCGAAATATCCATGTGATATATCCCAGTTCCCCCCAAACTCCAACCAACCCTCCAAACATAATGCTGCGACCAAAATTGGTAATACGAGTTGGGAGCAAGGAGATGGAGGTGAAACTAAGGAGGAGCCAGCAAATTCCAGGATCTGGACGGGTTGCTACTCAGTTTATGGGTTATCTATAATAGTATTACCTTAAGTTCATTTACAAATTCCTGAAAAAGTAATAACATTCGCATTTCTATCAGTTTTATTTATTTTTAAAAATATAACTTAGTTATCAAATACATTTGTTGGACACACGTAAGAGTAAAGTACTTATTTATATATTTATTAATTAATTTAATGTTTTTTTCGTTTCACTTTTAACACCTACTTCTAAATATTTGTTTGTACATAAAAAAAAAATTTTTTAAATTCTATATTTTATTATATGAAGTTTTTCCATTTGTTTTACTGATATATAATCTGATATATACTGATATATTAATCAATGTATTTAGCAAAAGCGTACAAAGCAACATTGTTTATGGGGAATTCGCCATAAATACCTCGTTTTGCTACCCCTTTCGATACTTTTGTCTAATTTTTTTAGGGGGAAATAAAAGATATCCATGAAAGGCAGAGCCAAATATTCGACTTGCACACACAAATACAGTCGCCGACATTTTCGTAATCAACATAAAATCCAATCATCCGTCATGGACAGTAAAAGCAGCAAAGGGCTGTCCATTCCCTGGTCTACGGAGAAAAAACAACCGAAAAAAAACCCCCGAAAACTACCCAACGCCACTGTTAGTTATCTGGCCTTTAAAAATGCCAAAAACGAAAATTTTGATTTATGAGCAGACGAAAGCTAAAGTAAAAGAGGAGCCAGAAATTATGTGTGCTTGTGTATTGGCCTGGCTCATTTATAACGCGCTTAAATCTAATACGCGGACAGTACTCAAGATGGGGCGATGGTTGGGTATGGGAATGGGGGATGGGGATGGGGGATGAGGGGGGTGTCGGGTTACTTGCTGGAGTCTCTTGTCTTCCGCATCCGCATCCGCGTCCGCATCCGCAGCCGGCAGACGTGCGTAAAGCGACGCGTGTCCGCTTTATGATTAATATGCGCGACAAAACACAAAATGCACGGAACAGGGATCGTTCGATATGACGGCCACTTCCTTTAATAATTGAAAAAATATATATAACAATATTCAATCGATATTCAAACTAAAATTTATTCAGTTAAAATATTACCATATTATAAGCAAAAATATATTTATCGCTAATAGATTC